TTCGTGTGGTCTTTGATGATGGTTCTTTGTTGGTGTTTTGATTCGACTTTAAACACTCTTTTTGATGAAATTTTGTGGATAACCATTCTTTCTGACGACAGTTAGTTGGTTTTTTTCTTCCATTCTTTTCAACTCTGGAGTGTTACAATGTGTTTGAACTCTTTTAGACAATGTCTGCACACAGTTTCTTTTGTGAGTAATTGGATTATTGCTAGTATAGTTGAGTATTTGATCTGTGTGCGTTGATTTTCTATATACTTGTGTTTCTAAATTTCCTGTGTTGGTTCTCCTGATTAAGACATCTAAAAATGGGATTTCGTTATCTAATTCTTCTTCTCTTGTGGTGAATTTGATGTCTTCAAATATGTTGTTTATTAATTTATGAGTATATTCTAAATCATTTCTCTTAATTAATACAAATGTATCAGCAACGTAAAGTACCCAAATTTTCGGTTTAATTATATAATCGTACAAAACCGTCTCATTTGTTCCATACTGAGGATTAGATGATTAACCAGAAAAGGATTAGCGACAAGATAGTCTGTCAGTCCATCTGCTGTCGCAGATTCCCAGCACTCCTATACCATATCTTCTCATCTCTTTGGCTGCCTGGGAAGCCTTTCTAGCCTCGTACATTGTACGGAGATATCACGCTCTGGTTCTTATTCTTGCTTTCATCAAGAGAAGACACATCAGTAGACTGGCTTCCTGAAGGATTTAACCAAACCGCTGTGTCATTTGGCCTCTCCGATTCCAGCTGGGAAAAAGTTTGTTTTTTATGTGTTTTTTTTTTGTATTTTTAATATTTTTCGTGTGCGTTGAAGTTTATGTAGCCGCTTGATTGGTCTTGTGGTGTAGGGTCACTAGCCTCACGCCAATCCTCCCTCATTACCCGGACTTCAGACCGGCTAGAAAACTAGCAAGCTTGTAAAATAGGCGAGGTCAAAAACTTGGTGTGTCACGAAAAGAATTTCCAAAAAGTTACAGTCTTTTATCAACAACGCTGCCTTCGCTAGCCCCACATTGAAGATCAAATGACCAGCCAAAAAGAATTAGCAACAAGAAACTCTGACTGGGAGCAAACAAACCAAGAGCCGAATGCTCAATAAATATTTAGGAGAAAGTGGAGATGGATTTGGCATGCACTCAACTGAGCAGGCCATCGAATGATATCGCACGCCAGGCACTCGAGTGGAATCCAAATCGAAAGCGATGTGTGGGTTTTCGGTGAGAGGGTGACAAGGGGAAGACTGTGTGGCGAGGAAGAGTTGATGAGAGATTCGGTCGGTCGGTCGGTTTTCGACATAGAACTTTGCACATATGTGCAGCAGTTCAAGTCCCCACACTCCATGTAGCACACAAAGTAAGAGAAGAAATGCATAATATAGACAGTAAACAGAGGTGTGAGACAAAGGAATAGTAATAACGGAGAACAAAACAGTTTAATTGGAAATCATAAGTCACAAGGAGTGGATGCATCTGCGCCACTGAGAACGATTTTGAGCCATGTCACCAATTGTTTCCAACCATTGGTTTTTACCATCCCGAGGGCCCCAACCAGGAAGTCTACATCTTCCTACGTGGCTTAGATTAACTGTTGTGGATTTCATTGATTGGTGCCATGTTTTGGTTTGACCGCCGCTAGCTCTTTTCCAGCCTGACCCTATATCAGCTAACATTGCCCATTGTCGAGGAAGGCGATGACTAGGCATGCGTAGCACATGTCCTAACCATCTCAGTCGAAGTAATTTCACAGTCTCGTCGATTGATTTCCCCGCCTTACCTAGCACTCGACGCCTAACCTCAATATTGCAATCCAATCCTATGATGAGAGATTATGGTCAGTCGTGGAGCTAGCCAAGTGAAGACGACAGCAGAAGACAGAAAAGAGTTTAGATGTGTTGCTGAAGCACTACGTTGCACTCCGAACTCAAGGGAATCATAAATAATAATAGTAATGAAGTAATCAAGAAGCTACCGCTCAATCAAGAAATTTTCTGAAGGGAATGGGGATAAAAGGAACTTGTGCTGTGGATAGTGTTGTCTTGTATCGCCCCCAGCTTCTTCACCATAAACTAAGGCTAGCTTAGTCAAAAAGTCTTTCTGAAAATATCGTGGAGGATGTTTCAGATAATCTTGACAACAACACACTGAACTTAAAATATCATATAAAAGTGGCCCCAAACAAGAGAGTTGCACCTGCTGGTCGACAAGATGGTTCAAGAAATCTTCAGAGACTTGCAACGTGTAGTGTAGCCCACACTAATGTTTCGACAGATGAAACACTTACTTTCTGATTTCATCACTGACGAAACTTTTCCGGAACAACAGTGATTGCAAAAGTTTTCACGGAGGGTGGAATGTATTCTGGTACCCTTTGACAGCACACCGCTTCATGGGGTTAGCAGAGGCAACTGATACGGTATGTGTGTGTTAACAGTACAAGGAAGCAGTGAAAACTGGTGTCCGAGCCTGGTCGGATGCGTGCCCATGAAAGCAAAACTTAAAACATATACAGCATATGTAGACGAGCCAGATACTTTCTAGGTTAACATCGAGTTGATTCGGTTTCTCTATCAATTTCAGCTCCACATTAACTTTAGTAACGTGGAGGGCGCACTGCAAAGTATCCGCCTCCTAGTAAGCTGTTAGGACACACGCAGTTTTAGACACCAGAAGGCGCCTATGAGAAAGACTACTCACAACCTTGACGAATGTTAACTTCACGTTTATATGCAACCCTTCTCTCCTAATGCAGAAAAATGCTAAGACCTCCGCCGTTTGTTTTCCCTTATTGATCCTTATTCTATGAGAGGAATTTTCACACAGACCAAAGAGTTCTCTGGGGTAAGCGGACTGTGATCACGTAGACCGGCCTACTCGAAGTGCCCACGTTGAGGGCGGACAGGACGTTGAGGAGGTATAAATGGAGAAAAGCCCTACATTTAGCGAAAGAGATGGAAAAGGCATCGGCGATAGGCAACACCAGACAACTATTCAGGCTTATCAGGGAAACAGGCAGCAAAAGGCAAATGATAAGCGAAACAATCTCGGAGAAAAAATGGCACCATAATTAGCTCCCAGGATAGACGACTAGAGTGGTGGAAAGAACACTACGAGGAGCAGTTTAATTGGCCTACAGCCATATTTAACCTGCCGAACATCCAACACCTCCCTGAATGGGATATAGACACAGGTCCTCTGTCCTTAACTGAGGTTACTAAAGCTGTCACTAATCTGAAGCAAGGCAAAGCAGCAGGACCTGATTTATTGACTCCAGAGGTATTTAAGTACGGTGGAGACAGTTTACTGCCTGCGTTAACTGAGGTTCTAGGCGGCGTCTGGGAATCAGAGGAAGTCCCATCGGGTTGGTGTAAGTCACTGATCATCCCGATATATAAGAAGGGAAACAAGTCTTCTTGTGATAATCACAGAGGCATTAGCTTGACTAATATAGTATCTAAAATCCTAGGCTCAATAATACTGCGCAGACTAATTGGTGCTCGGGAGGCTCAAACACGAGAAAACCAGGCAGGTTTTAGACCAAGTAGAGGGTGTATTGATCATATCTTCATCCTTCGACACATTCTAGAACATAGCCATTCCTACCGGCGTCCGACAATCATTATATTCCTTGACCTAAAGGCGAAATTCGTTTCTGTCGACCGAGAGGTTCTCTGGCGATGCTTGGCTGTAAAGGGAATACCGAGAAAATACATTGCACTGATTAAGGCACTCTACTCGTACTCATGCAGCCAGGTGAGGGCTTACGGCGAGTTTTCATCTGAAGTGGTGACGACTAGTGGCGTCCGTCAAGGATGCCCATTATCCCCATTCCTATTCAACTTCATCATAGACGTACTGATGGACTTAACCCTAACACACTTCAGCGACTCAGGGATTGACTTGCTACCAGGGAATAATCTCGTCGACTTAGAATATGCAGACGATATAGTCCTTCTAGGCGAGGACGCTGACAAAATGCAGTCTTCTGAACACCTTGAGCAACAATCTTCGTATGTTTGGCATGCAATTCACCCCTTTAAAATGTAAGATGATGCTGCATGATTGGACTTCACCGACCCCTACATTAGAAATAGGAAGTGAAGTGGTAGAGCACGTTGACCACTTCACTTACTTGGGAAGTACCATCAGCCCCAACGGGTTGATCTCAGACGAAATATCAGCACGAAAACAGAGGGCTAGTTTCGCATATGCCAGCTTACGCCGTCTCTGGCGTAAACGTGATATCCGACTATCGACCAAAGGGCGTGTGTACTGCTCAACAGTCCGCTCCGTCCTCCTTTATGTCTGTGAAACCTGACCATTGAGAGTGGAAGACATGAAAAGATTCGCTGTCTTTGATCGTATGTGTCTGCGTTCTATCTCCCGCGTGAAGTGGTACGATAAGGTGAGCAATATTGAGGTTAGGCCATCGGTCAAGTGATAGGTAAGGAGGGAAAATCAGTCGACGAGGCTGTGAAGTTACACCGACTGAGATGTTTAGGACATGTGTTACGTATGCATCCCTAGTCATCGCCTTCCTCGACAATGGGCAATGTTAGCTGATATAGGGTCAGGCTGGAAAAGAGCTAGCGATGGTCAAACCAAAACATGGCTTCATCAGTCAATGAAATCTACAACAGTTAGGCTAAGCCACGTAGGAAGGTGTAGACTGGCTTCCTGATTGGGGTCCTCGGGACGGTAAAAACCAATGAAGGCTGGAAACAATTGGTGACATGGCTCAAACTCATCGTTCTCAATGGCTGGCGCAGATGCATCCACTCCTTGTGATTTATGATTTCCAATGAAACTGTTTTGTTCCTCGTTATTACCATTCCTTTGTCTCACACCTCTGTTTACTGTCTGTATAATGCATTTCTCCTACTTTCTTCTCTTCTTTTGTGTGTTACATGGAGTGTGGCGACTTGAACTGCCGCACATATGTGCAAAGTTCTATTTCGAAAACCGACCGACCGGGTTAAAAAAAGAAGATTGATCAAGACTGACAATTATATGTATTTATTGATTTTCAATGAAGCATTCATTATTAATATAATTATGATTATTAATTATTAAACTAAAAAGTGGTTTTATATTCAATAACTGATGGGTAGGTAGGTGTAATAGAAGAGAGAGAGAGAGAAACAACAATTACAAAAACTGATGAACACAACAGATATAAATGCACTGATAGTTAAAAATGTCTTTTATTAATAATAACAATAATAACAATGATAATAACAATAATTTACAGTCAGTCATAAACACATTAGAGGGGTTAAAAAACAGAAACAAACTAATAAACTAATTAGATGTCTCCTGTTTCATCGCGCTGACTGCCTGCTCCTCATCCTCCTTAACTGACTCATCCATCTTCACAGAAGGAGTAGAAGTATCAGTAGTGGTATCAGCAGGAGCAGCAGCAGCAGCAGAAGCGGCAGTAGTAGCTTCGGTGGTTGCAGTGTCAGCAGCAGCAGAAGCAGCAGCGGTTTGGTCAGTTGTATCTCCAACCAATTCCATTGCTTTTGTTCTTTTCGCTACAACGACATCATGCGGTAGACTGAATAATTTGATCAAATTCTAGGTGGCAGAACAAAAAAAAACAAGAAGAGAAAGAAACATTCAGATAACGCTGGCAGATCCACCTAGATCAAGTGAATATCAATCAAAGTGGATGGGGAGGGGGAGACGAAAAGACTTCAGATCATAGGCGTTGCACAAAAGATTGTTTTTGTAGGCAGGTGAGGGATAAGCCTATTGACGTTTTGAAGTGATCATTAGTGGTGGTGACACTATCACTCGTGTTGAGAAAGCAGCTACGCATCCTAACCGCTGATGAGTTCCAAAATAGGACGAAGTGAACACCCAAGGATCCATTATTAACTTCTGATTATGCAAATTTTTATCAGCTCAGAATCTTTTAACACTGTGTAACCACAAACAGCAGAGTCTGGGTACAGGTGTGGTGAGAGCTATCTGCTAGCCAAAAATTTTAGACACCAATTTACGTCAATGTTTACGTCCCGAATCGGGGTCACGAGAGAAAAAACAATAACAAAGCCTAACCTTGAGGAACTCAACAACCAATCACAGAAGACCTAGAGTGTGTAAATGCGATTTGCAGATATATGGTCTGACCTTCAGAAGAATGGCCACAAAGAGATGAAAGAATAACCTTCAACAGGAAAACAACCAATCAGAAGACGCTATTTCTCTGCAAATAATAACGAATAATAATGGTAAACGATCCATAGCCTGGCCCTTGTCTACCATCGTTACACGGGTACTACTACTTTCACTATGAATACATTATTCTTCACAATATTTCAAAATGATGAGGTCACAGCTTATCGATTCACCTCGACCCTGTCAAGGTTGTATGTGTCTAGCGGTGAACTTCAATTTGGGCACTTTTCTCCGCTCCTACTTATACGGAGAACTTAAGAAGCACTGAACCTTTTTCTTCAACTACCACACTCAGATGTTTTCACATAAAGCAGGTGTAAAATAAAGCTTAAAATTATTCGATTAGTTGACCCTTATTCTCATTCTTACCACCTCTAACCCCCAAAATTAAGCGAATAAAGAGGATGAGGATTAAGGCAGATGTGAACGAGAAAATCGGTATCCACGAGTGTATGTTCATATATTTATTCCCCTTTATAAATTTGAATAAGACAAGAACAACGTTGGTTTGTGCGTCAGTGACACAGCGGTTAGGACTCTCTCGGCGACCATGCACATGGTCCGCAGTTCGATTCCTTGCCGACGCACGCACACCTGATATCAATGGTCGATCTGCAAAATTCATAGGCCATGTTGAAAGGTGTTTTAATATTAATCTTGTGACTCATATCAATTACGAAGTTTAGTCATCTATAGACCACCACTATCTCAACTACAGAAGGAACGGACGGACGAGGATGTCAAATCGAGATTCGGGAAGGCGAGAAACACATTCATCAACCTGAAACCAATCTGGAAATCTTCGTCACTCAGCAACACTCAATAACAAAATTCGGATTTTCAATACAAACGTCAAGTCAGTCAGTTCTTCTATACGTACGGACCAGAAACTTGGCGGCGGGTCACAAAGAATATTTCCAACAGCCTGTTGCAGACCTTTATCAACAATAACTGTCTTCGTTCTATACTGAAGAAACTATGGGAAGAAACAAAACAGGAACCACTCGCCCAACAAATATGCAAGAGAAAGTAAAGATGGATTAGACACTCGATGAGGAGGCCGCTGGGTGACATCGCACGTCAGGCCAGTGCTCGAGTGGAACCGGAAAGAGAAGCGGCGAGTGGGACGTCCAAGGGTGATATGGAGGAGATCGTGTGAAGAGGAGTTGAAACAGTATGGATTAACATGAATGCAGGTGAAAAGTACAGCACAAGACAGAAGCAAGTGGAGACGTGTAGTTGAAGCCCTATGTTCCACTAGGAGCCCAAAGGAACAATAATAATAATAAACCACCACCTTACTACTGTATGTAACCCGGGGTTCATCATAATGAATGATCAGAAAGACTTAACTGCAAGTGAATATGCCTCATTCATATAAAAAAAGCTTTCAAAGCGCGTATGTATCTCTAAAAACCTTCAAGGGCACACGCACACATCAGTAATTATCATGAAATTTTGTTATGAGGAATTTTGAAAAAAACAAACTTACAACACATTCACGGTAAGTAATTCTATAATTCAATATAGTGCGTTTATCTTCAGCTACAGGATAGTCTTCTGAGTCCACTGGTGGTAATGTCCCCTGTGCGAATGCTTTAGGGAAATGATTTCTATAATCAACAAAACGTTGAATTTTATATCCACATATACATGAAGAGGTTTCCTTGAATTTTTCTATGTTTCTCAGTTCCTATATAATAAAGAACAATAATTAGAATAGTAGTAGTAATAAAAATTATAAACGCAATACTGTTATTATTGTTCCCTCGGGTTTCGAGCGGGAAAATCTGAATTCTCTGAGGTTCTTTTTAGCCAACCCTACACCACTGCCCATAATCTCTCATCTCCTCCTCATTAGACGATCCTCGCCATGTCATCTTCCCACCAAAGCATAACTCGCCGTTTACAATTTGGGTTCCACTCTCGAGCAATGGGCTGCAATGCACACGGTGTCATTCTACGGTTTCTCCTCAGCGTGCGTGTCTCATCCTTTGTTGAGCGACAGGTTCTCCCGGTTGATTCGTTCACAAAGTTTCTGGTTGATAATTTTTTTTTCTGGCCGGCCATTTGATTTTCAGCATGAAGCCAAGGAAGACAGCTGTTGACACAAGTGCCTGTAGTAGCCTAGTTTCTGGCGGATACAGAAGAACTGACTGACTTAACATTGGTGTTGGAAATCAGCATTTTTTGGTTATGTTGAGTGCAGGAGATTCCCAAACTGACTTCAGAGTGACCTGGCCTTTGCAACTCTGGTTTTAACATTCTCATCTCTGGCGTCTACCTGCAGTTGAAACAGTGCTTCCTAGATAAGAGAAGGAAGTAACCTTATCCGAATTTATCCCATTGATAACGATTGATGTTTGTTGTTGTTGTCGTTGCTGGTTGCTTGATTGTCTTCATCACCTCCACCATGTCTATGTTCACATCTGAAGTCCACTGTTCGCCGCCAGCTTCTTCTGCTAATTTCTTGACTTTCACCTAGAAGTCTCCGAGTTTGAGTAACACTAGACATAAGGCATCCGCGAAATTCAGAACTTCTAGAGTCTTCTCATTAGTAAGTCCAACATATTCCAAAATCTGACGCACAATCCAATGTGCTTCACCACACATTTAGGAATATCGTCGATGATAGAAGACAGCCTTGTCAAAAATACTAATAATACTCAGAAATACCTTCCAATGAGAAGAAAAGACGCCAGACCTCCTACAATCAAACACGGAACTATTTACTAGGAATAATGATGGAAAAATTGTTTGTAACCTAAAACATGTGGACATTGAATGGAGAATAATGTAAACAGAACTAAGCCAGTTGACCAATGGTCGTGTTTATGTTCTGGGAGCAATGCGTTGCCATTTCACTGACATTCAAAATCGACAGTTTCAAAATGCATAATAGAGATCAAAAATTCTGAAACCAACAGGAAAATTAATGTCAATAACTGAACTCGTCGTCTTAGACACAAATTCACAATTTACACAGGTATGGAGGTGAAATGCCACCACCGTTTCCACTAAAAATCAAAATTATTCTAATCACAGTTGATGTGATCTGCATTATATTTGATCACAGAGAATTGCTGAAAATCAACTAGGTAGTAACTGGATACGTGCTTCGTCCTTGTCTGGGACTCTTCATCAGTACGTGCCTCCACCCACCAAGATTCGCACCAATTACAAGACAAGCACGTAGAAGCCAAACCTTGGTTAAACTTGATAATTTAGGTGGTAATCAAATCAAAAGGGTAAACGATATACTACTGACTGATTGAAATAAGTAGTTGTATAACACTCAGATAAACCAGGAGTGCTTGCCAGCTAAGCTAGCTAGCCAGTCAGGTCTAAACACTCGCTCGTTTGGGGAACTCCCCGTCACTGCTGGTGTCTGAGACCTGCGATCAATTCCATTCTCGTCAGAGAAAAACAGTGTTTAGACAGTACAAAAAATCGCTTAAAGTATGAACGCGAAACTAGTGTCTCCGGGGATAGGCGAGAGAAATACAAAACTTCAAGTATTGGTTTTGTAGGGATTATGTTTGATTGCATGGAGGATTTCATCAGGCTTTCCATTGGTTCTCTAACTGATGTCAGCTCACGATGAAATCCACCATGCAATCAAACATAATCCCTACAAAACCAATACTTGAAAATTGATCTGATGGTCACTAGTGACTGGTCTTATTCAGGTAGTTAACCTGGGGTTCTAGTGGGAAGCCGAGACCAGTAAGGTACAGCAAGTTGAAGCTGAGGCAGTAACTCGTCGAAGAAGACATTGAGAAATCGTCGCGCTATGTCGTGAATTGGCAGAAGTTAGAATTCAAGTACCATTGGATCGGGTCCCAGTGGATCAATGGCCTACGAGATTGTCTTGTAACCAGAAGGTCCTGGGCTCGAACCCCGGTGGGTGCGTACTGATGAAGAATCTCGAACTAGGACGAAACAGTTGTCCAGTACTCCCAGGTTTTCCAGTGGTTCTCTAACTGATGTCAGCTCATGATGAAATCCTCCATGCAAAATAAACAAAACTGCCAGGCAGCACACCAGTATCTTAAACTAACAACCAACCCAACCAGACAGCCAGCCATCAGCTTACCTTCCAGAAGTCTATGAGATTAAGACAAGTCGTCAATAATATTCTAGAGGATAGTCAATGCTTGTTTTTTATTCATTTACGTTCCCCACTGGAACATAGGACTGCAAGCTGGAGGCTTGAAGTTTCGATAGCAGTGGTGTTTATTTTTACGGGATAGAGTTGCTAGCCAGCCTCATGGCCAACCTTCCCTACCAACCAGTCTTATTACTGGGCTTAGTGAGGTAAAGGAGTGCGTCGTCGGCGAGTGGCTCTACCGCTGCTGTGCCACCGTTGCACCATAATCAATGAGACAGAAGCAAGGGTACCGGGTGGGGACTCACCTTTTTATACTTATCTTTACAAACTCTCCAAAGATCCAATACAACATCAAAATATGATGATGATTCGATTGGTATTTGAATTTCCCAATTTGGATTCACATTTGCCTTGAATGCTTCTTGATGACTGACACTATACAAATGCATCTCGGTATTATCGACACCAGTTATATTTTCATTACATAGTGAACAACGATAAGGTCGTTTATCTTTTGACGGTGTCAACCCATCCACCTTTATTTATTAGATAGAAAGTAAGAAAAAGAGGGGAAAAAAGACAAATACAGATGGCGGTTTATGATGTGAAGGAAAAAAAAGTTAAACAAAGTGGAAACGTCAATTCACTCACTTTACCACAAAATATATGCATATGCCTGACAATAATTACAGTTAGAGTGTTTGAAACTCATTTATTAGTTACCCGGAACAGGTATCTTAATAGACTATTCCACAATGGGCTCCTCATTGGGTCCCATTCTGGCTGATTTCTTTCTAATTAAGCTAGAAAATGGACCTCTGAACAACCTCATCAGTAAGTTGCCATTTTATTGCCGATATACGGATGATACCTTCATTCTTTGTGATGATGGTTCTGATAGGAATAGGATAATTACTGAATTCAATGGAGTACATTCGCCTATGAAATTCACATGCGGAGAGGAATCCCAAAACATAATTGCCTTCCTGGATCCCCGTCCTACTTACAAGAAAACCAGATGGTAGCATAGTTATATGAAATTTGCATAGAAAAAGTACTTGAACAGGACAATATACACACATTTTCACAGCTTCGTTCCTATCAAGTACAAAAGAAATTTAGTGGAGACCCTCGGCCACAGAGTTAGACCTATATGCTCAGAGGAAGCCCGACCGAAAGCTGCTACCTTGACGTGGTGGTCGGGCTTGCATATCACAATGACCCAACGAGCTACACTGGCTGGAACTTAAGTTCCTGTAGGTCCTACCACCATGCCAGAAAGGTTGTTTGGATAGCGGTTAGACAAAAAGCAGTTACCCAACCCAATGCCATGACTCAAACAAAATCACAAAATATCATGCCGGATCGGTCGAGGCTCGGATTAACAACGACCGCACTTCCTGCTGCCGTGTCACAGGGCAGAAGTGATAAATACGCTACTGAGACACACCAAATGAAAAAGAAAAAAACAAAAGCAGGCCGTGTGTGACCGGCCTCAAGCAATTGTCCCCTGGGCTCTGCGGTCACGCAACCAACTTCCACGGTGTGGGCAGCCGGGAAGTAACAATCGCCCTCACAATCCGAAATGCGAGCGAAACCTCTCTAATCCTCACTCATCTTTGTCTTCATCTTCACCTCTATTATCTTGCCTTCCTTCTACTAATGCAACTCCTCTACTTGATGGCTCTTCACTTCCTCTTCACTCTGTGTGCACTGAAAACGATGGAATCGACGAGGCTATTGAGTAACATAGATTGAGATGGCTAGGTCACGTGCTGCACATGCCTAACCATCGCCTCCCCCTACCGATGGGCATTACTAGCTGATATAGGTAGGTGCAGGTTGGAAAAGAGTAAGTGGTGCCATGCCAAACAAAAACATGGCCTCATCAATCCATGAAATCCTTGACAGTTAAACTGAATCAGGTAGGGATATGCAGACTTCCGGGTTGAGGCCCACCCTCGGGACTCTAAGAATCAATGGTTAGATACAATAGGTGACGTGGCTTAACATCCTTGTCAATGGCTTACGCAGATGTATTCAGTCTCTGTAATCTTTATTGATATTCCTTTCTACCATTAGTCATTCTGTTTCACTCTTATACTTGTCAAAACTCTATGATTGATTCTCTTCACTCATTTTCTTGTCTACGTTTGTGTGCTATTTGGAACGTGGTAACTCGAACTGATGCACTTCGGTGCCAAGTTGAATCCAGCCAGTAGTGCATAGATGCAGACTGATAAGACAGATAGACGTATAGGTATACATGTAGAAATTTACCTCTTCTAGATATTCTTCGCCTGCAGGACCCGGTTCTTCGCATAACATATGTCTTAGGTCTAAAAATTTAAGACAGAATATATTTTCTTTGGATTTCACAAGGGTCACATTTCTCTCCTCTTTCTCACCAATCAGAATTGTTTGCGTATCTACAAAAACATAATAATAATAATAGTAATAATAATAATTTCGAAATAGTTAATTTTATTATATGCATACAGCACAGACGCATCATGGATGATAAGTAGGTTTTTATCGGTTACTTTTATTGTTCAAATAAGGATAAAATGAAGATAAAAACAGCTCACTGGCAAATAAACGATAGCAAATACTACTGATAATCTGAAATAAGTAGTTAGAAGGCACCAACGGCAAATAGTAGTGCTTGTTAGTGATATAAGCACCGGACGGCTGTCTCACTGGCTTGGGATCAAGCTTATCTACAGTTTAACCGGTACTTTGATTAAGCAAAGATAGAGAGAAGGAGAGAAAGAACTAAATCAGCTCAAACCACTCAGTCATTGTAAAAATCCCCTGAAGATGCACCTTTAGATCGACCTTGCTGAAAACCGTTTCAGATTTAACTGCTATCATCATAACCTTAAATTCACCAACTTTAGTATCACAACAACTTGAGTCTATGTCATGGATCTCAAATTTGTGTAGAGTGTGTACTCACTCATCACTTGAGATCGATAATGTCTTTGAAGGTCAAGGATAATCAGTCAGGTCGGGTGCAAGGAAATATACTCGCCACAGATGACATTGGCTAGTGCCAGTCGAGCTATATATCGGATCAGATCTTGTAACCGGAAGGTCTTGAGTTCGAGCCCTGACAACGAGTGCGTATTGCTGAAGAGTCACAAGCACTAGGATGAAACAGCTGTCCAGTACACCCTGCTGGTTTTCCAATGGCTCACTAACCGATCTCAGCTCATTATGAAATCCAGTAACCAATATGTGTTCAATATACAATATCCAAACAAAATTGTTGCGATGCAACAATAAATATTCACTGAAATGTCACACATTTGCCTCGAATTCAAGTTACATCTAGGACTTACTCCAGCAAGAGAAGTACTGAAAACCAGAAGGGTATTAACTACTATGAATAGCTGTTTCGTCCTACAATTGGACTCTTCTTCATCAGTAGGCAGTCGTCAGTCATGACCTTAGTGAGGATCGAAACTTCAAATGTTTACGCGTTACAGGACAAACTCATTTGATCTTTCAGTCACTGGGATGGAATCCAGTTAAAAGATCGTTTATACACGTGACCCCATCCCTCACGGTGACCGTGTATGGTCCTCCCCACTTTGAAAGCAGTTTGCATAACCCTGGAACGTATTTGCCGGTGTTTCGCCTCAGGCTATCATATATTGCCATTGCTTGACCAACCCGCAGAGTTCCAAGTAACAGCCTCATCGCTGACGGGATTTGAACGCCATTCAACTGCACAACAGCCTCGAAGTCCTGCCAGAAGATCTATATGTCTCCTTCTTCAAAATCTGCAGGGTACAGGCTTACCATTTGTCGGCAGGTAGCGACACCAAATGTAACAACAGAAGGCAAGACACTGGAGTCAAGGTATTGAACTGTGGGAATATGTGAGAATAATATTCCGTTGAAACACATTGTCTGTATCACACCACTACAACAGGGCTCATACGACACCCTACAGAAACACGTCAATTTTGCTGATGAAGTGAACCATGCGTGGAATTCGACATACGAAAATATCTGCTTTTCGCTATTTAGTCACACACACAATCATAAACTTCATCCACTTGGGAATCTGGATGTGTCAGCGGGGAGGGGGACGGCTCAAATGTGAGAATTCTAAGAGGGAACAGGGTTGGTTTGATACCCAGCCAAGAAAACCTCCAAAACCTCGTCTACCCCACCCCGTCGTCGTCGTCAGTAGGCTCAGGAGAAGAAAGAAAATTGGGCTTCTGGAACTCAACACAAAACAAAAATTTACTCACAATCCCGTAAATTGAAATTATGACTCAACTTTCAAAAAATAAAGAAAAAGAGAGAGAGCAAATGAAAGCAAAAAGAAAAACACAACCACCACCACCTACCAGAATTGATATAATGACAGAATGAACCCAGAGGATCGTCCGGAGATAAATGATCACGATCGCCTTTTGCATCTTTAAATAATTGATTAATTCGTGCGTTCAATTTATGCCGTCTAAAAGCCAAATGTTCCGCGTATAACGATTTATTACGGAATGTCTCCTTGCATATGCCGCAATAGATTTTAATATCTTTTCCACCAAACTGTTGTAAATGAATGAATGAATGAATAATAATACGATTAGAAATTAGTGGGGGGGGGGTAAAGAGAAAAGGAGGGAGAGTGATGGGCATTTTATATTCATTAATAATAATAATAAATGTAATACGTTTACTATTGCACAACTAGATTGAAGATGTCCAACAGACTTCAAATTTTGATTGGACACCAGTAACTAGTGTGGTGGGTGTCTACTCCTTTCGCTGTTTGGTGCAGACTGAATTCTATCAGTCAGTCAGGTTTGCAATGTGGCAACCATTCTAGGTGGCTCACCATCACGGTGCACACTGATTTGATGATATTTGATAGCTGGAGGCAATCGGCAGGAAGTCTTGGACCTAGTTAGCACTCATCAGCAAGGCGTATCTGCAACCTTGAAGGAACTCATGAGATTCTTACCCACGTCACCCAGTGCTGTCTGCAGTCAGAGACGTTACCACTGGGCTATTCAGCGTCGCTATTGACCTCCTGTAGGACTGTAGTGGGTACTTTGATTGAACACTAGTAACTAGTGTGACGTGTCTAGTCCTTTCTTTGGGTGACGCGGGTCAGAAGGGACATGAGTTCCTTCAAGGTTGCAGATACGCCTTGCTGACTGGTGAGTGCTAACTAGCACGAAACCTAGGTCAAGCAAGACTTCCTGCCAATTACCTCCAACTATCAAATATCATCAAACCACCCTAGACACGAAAACACGGGTGGGTGAGGTGTTCACCTTCACACAATGCTTGGAAAACATCACCAAAACGCCTATTCAGATCAACAACTTTAAACAGTAGGACTGATGAGGATAAATTAAAATGTTCAAATGTTCATTAACCTCATTAAAAGCTGACAAATGGTATCATTGAATTCTGTACTACAGGACTTTCGATTAGTCTTCAGCATTACAGTGTGGAAGACTCACATGCCCAGCCATCATCTTCCTCGACAACAGGCAATGTTATCTGACTGACATAGGATGAGGCTAGAAAAGAGCTATTGGTGGTCAAACGAAAACATGGTTCCATCAGTTAACGAAATCCATAACAGTTAGTTAGTTTAAGCCAGTCAGCCAGCCAGTCAAGGTGTAGAGTTTCTGGTTGGTTGGGGGGGGGGGTCTTCAGGATTGTGAAAATCAACGAAGACTGGAGACAATCGGTGATATGAATGGCTCAACATCGTTCTAAATGGCTGGCACAGATGCTCTTACTCTTTGTGATTTATAATATCCAGTAAAACTATATTGTTCTTCGATATTACTATTCCTTTTGCCTCATATCTCTGTTTACTGTCTCGGTTTTGCACTTCTTTTTACTCTCTTCTCTTGCTTTGTGTGCTACATGGAGTGTGACGACTCGAACTGCTGCACATAGGTGCAAAGTTTTACGTTGAGACCAGTCAGTCAGTCAATCAGTGTGGAAGACTTTTACCTCAAATGGAGGTTCTTTGATACCGTTTGTGATGTTTATGGCAAATGGTTGGTATAATTACAAAGACATCACATTGTCCTTCAAGATAACCACCTTGGGGATAACTTCAATTGTTCAACCCTCTCTCTTTTTTCTTCACTTCGTGTCTGTGTAAAAGCCTTTTATTAAATCACATCTCTACTGCTTCTCTGGAAGATGTAAGGCCATAAATATTGGCACACACCACGGTACGAGCACTTGTAACAAGAGATTGTTAGCTTTGATGTATGAAAATGGTATTTCGATAAAGAAAGGAAGACGAAATTTGCAGTATAAAATGATATCATTCAATTTCACAGGTTCTCATCAGCTGCAGACTACCTGAAATTACAATAGTTATATAAATGATAATAACATACTTTAATGTTTGATTAGTAGTAGAGAAGAGATAAAATTGACGCATCCAAAAAAGAATGAAAGCATTACAATTTTTAGTTTAAGTCATCATCATCAATTTATACACTTTCAGAGTTGAAAAGAGGGGGGAGGGGTAAGACAGAAAACAGAAAAATTGATTAACAGAAACAGTGTTAGCTTGTAGGTTCACATGGCAACTCCAAAAAACAAAAGCATTTACAGTTTATAAGATTGAGATTTGCTCAGTGAGTTGAGATCACTGAATCAGATGACTAATCAACATCAAAATGGTATTTTATCTGTTCAATGGTGCTTACAAACTGACTGACTGACTTACTTACTCACTCACTCACTCAATGGGGAATGCAGGTAGGTAGGTAGGTACATCCATTAGTTGACGAGTCCCGGAAAGTACGAAATGCGCATCCTGATGGATTCCACTTTTAGACTAACCACATTTCTTTTCTCTGGTCGAATGAATAAAAAGTTGTGACACGTTCATCACGTATGACGACACACGCACACACACAAACAGATAGACAAACAAAGTAGCAATAGAAAAGGAAAAAACACCAAACTGATTGAAGATTGAAAAACTAACAACAACAACAAAACTTACCCTCTCTTCTACAAAAACAGTTTCATCATCAAATTCTGCATCATCTCCTTCGCTTTTTTTAATATTTGCCAAAGTTTCTCTGAATAACATTAAATTCTTTTTATGCGAATCAAGATCAAAATGCTTATTTAGCGCTTCTTTATTATCGAATTTTCTTTCACAAACAACACAATAAAGATTTCGTCGCATTCTTATTTTATTCTATAATATGAATATAAACACATGCAAAAAACAAAAAAAGACTTTTAAGGTGCGACTACTGACAAGATTTATCAGTAGTATAAAATAATTTTTAAAAATTATCAATTACAGAAAGAATAGTAATTTTTTCCCAATTACAAAAGGAGAAGAACCAACAAGGAAGGGAGAAAAAGGCAGTCAAGACATTACTTCAACTGGACATGGATAGATATTTAGTTAGTTAGACCTCTATTACTCAATTATTTTATATATATCCCTTGGATTTCCGGAGGTGGGAGATATAGTGCTCCAGTAATAGTGGTGCTTATCTTTACACAGAGGGGTGGGGGTTGACAGCCTCACACGACACCCAACCTTCCCTCCTTTTTAGGCTTATAATCGGCCGGGATTCGAACCCCGGACCACGTGCATTGTTGGCGAGCAATCTGCTGCTGAACCAACAAAGCACAAAAGCCAGTGACACTCGGTAACCCATGTGAGTACTACCCAGGTGCAAGGTTGCTTAAATTCAGTGCACGGAAGAGAACAGGTGTTTCCAACGTGACATGGTCGCTGACATCTCCCAGAATGAAGTGGGTGAAGGAGAACTCAAGCTCGGGACCCATCAGCTGGAAATCTACTGCTCAAGCCAATGGACAACGAGATTCAGGTGACCATACTGTCAAACCGAAAACGACAGCAACCACCGTACACAGGAAGGAAGTTGTCCCCCGATTTCACGTGCATGCAAAGAGCAGGATGATGTCAAAGTCACTCAGCATGGAATCGGGAAAGTAAGTTAGGTGCCGAAAGCAAGAAACAAGATCCAAATTCTCAATACTAATGCCAGCCAAATCAGTGATCCTACAATAGACTTCAGCAAATCGGCGGCACTCACTTCACAAACAAACTGTACACACTTTTGTCTACAGTACTCTTCACTCAGTAATTTGGATTCGATAGCTGCAAAAGGATAAGCAACGGGAAATCTGATAGGCAACCAAATAGCGAAAAAAAACAATTGGTTGCCCAACTTATATGCCACAGGAAATGAACATCGATTGGACATCACACTCGAGACAGCTGAGTGAAGCGGCAATAAGTGATAGGTGGGATTGTAACACAGACAGTTCTACAGTCCATTGGAAAACAACGGAAGAGAACGCAAGGAAATGAAGATACGCTGCTGAAAGTAAGCGTTCTCTACTCGGAAAGCAATGAATTTATTTTACAAAAGGAATATTGTCCAGTGAAACATTTAACGACTGGTTTATTCAATCGACCAAATTGTCTGAGATACATGTCCCATTGAAACTGTTCGTATTCTTGAAACCAAATCTTCTGCTTCACTCACATAACCAGTCAGCGAGCATAAACAACAAGATAAAGATTCTATTCAACACAAAGGTGAAGTCAGTCAGTGAGTCAGTTGTTTTATTCGAGTCAGGAACTTGCACTACACGCCCGTTACTAAAAGGATTCCCACCAGCCTGTTATAGACTTTTATCAACAGTTGCCCACTTCGCTGGCTGTACTGCTCCATACTGAAGAGCAAATGGCCAGCCAGCCAGCGGGCCAGAAAGAAGGAACTAGCAAAAAGAAACTCTGGTTGGGAACAAACCAACCAAGATTCGATTGCTCAGCATAAATTTAGGAGGAAATGGAGGCCGTCGGTCGAATGACATCGCGCACTCAAGTGGAATCCAGATGGGAGTGGGTCGACAATGCAAGGGTGACATGGAGGAGATTGTATGGCGAGGAGGAGATGAGAGATTATGAGCAATCATGGAGCTAGACAGCTGAAGAGGACAGTATCGAATAGAACAAAGTGGAGATGTGTTGTTGATGTCGTACGTTCCCATTAGGAACCCAAAGGAATAATAATAATAACACGTAACGAAGGCATAAGCGGAAAACCTAGAGCTATATCCATCTAATAAGTTCCTGCAAACCCTATTTCCTAGTGTGAATAGGTGAAATCCCACCTTGACACCCAAATAACAATGGTTGCACATGAACCACCCATAGTTTACTAATTTACAAGTCACCAATAGATACAGCTTAATAAATCCATGATTAATATATGTGTAAAACTTGGACACTGTGGTAGTAAGTAATTCCATATTAGTTTGTTTATTAGATGTATTACACAGTGCAACAGTGTTATTTACTGGATGACAAGGTTTCGAACAAAATTTATTGTTCATAATCATCTCATCAATTATAATCACACGACTTTGAAACTTGAGTTTTATAGTTTTCTTTGTCTTCTTCCATACAAGGAAGGAACCTCCGAAACCTTACGCAGAATTCTTAAAAAGGCAGGAATAAAAATGGCATTCAAACCCACAAACTCAATTAGAAACAAGCTTTGTCGGTTAAACGATCCTGTGGAGCCTTTAAAACAAAACAGTTTCGTTTATCTAATACCCTGCCGGAATGATTGTCAAGTCAAATACATAGGTAAAGGAGTAGAACAGGGGTAGTCAGTCAGACTAGCCGAACATAAAAACCTAGCAGCAAAATCTAGATTGGTTGACCTGAATAAGATAAGAAATCTAGAGAACAGTTCAGTTATAGCACTACTTGCAGTTACACACAACCATACAATAGGATGGGATAGGATAAGTTTTAAAATCTAATGTAACAGCAGGGTGGAGGGAGAGATTGATAACAGAAGCTTTGTTTATCGAATCAACTGCAAACCAACACGTGTAAAAGGAATGATTCGACACCTGTCCCCGATATCTGGAAAGTTCTACTACCCCAACGACGACAAATAGGAGCGAACAAAGAAGACTATAAAACTCAAGTTTCGAAGTCGTGTGATTATAATTGATGAAATGATTATGAACTATAAACTGTGTTCGAAAGGCGTCGTCATCCAGTAAACACTAATACTGTTTCACTGTGTGATACATCTAATAATCAAACTAAAATGGAATTCCACGATTAGATTCACAGAGTGGGGGAGAAATCTTACTTCATTCCTTTGAGTCCCCAATGGAAACACCACAGGGTATGAAGCTTTGCAGTCTCAGTTGTAGTGGTGTTTATATTTTTACGGAGTGGAGTTGCTAGCCTCAAGCGCCACCCAGCCTTCCCTCTTTGTTAGGCTTATAACCGGCGGGGAATCGAACCGGAGACTAGTATTCTTACCGTTGACTCAATCACTACTGACCAAGAGGCGAGAGGATGAGGAGCAGGAATCGCACTATTAAATAAAGCTCAAATAGGCCGATGGGATAATGCTATTGACAAGTAAGCCATACCTTCCTATTCATCAATGTGTATTATTATTATTACCTTGAGTTCCGAGTGGAACATACGACACGTACACAACACATCTCCACTTTCTTCTACTTTCTGCTGTCCTCTTCAGCTGTCTAGCTCCATTATTATTATTATTATTATTATTATTGTTTCCTTCAATTCCTAGAGGAACACAGGGCTTCAGCCGTGCGTCTCCATTGCGTTCGGTTCTCAGCTTGAGTTTTCACCTGGCTCCAAGTCTGCCCACACGTTTTCATCTCCTCTTCACATGACCTCCTCCAAGTCACCCTCGCACTGACCACCAACTCGCCACTTCCCTTTCGGCCGGGTTCCACTCGAGCAATGGCTTGTCTAGTGATGTCACTCACTTGGTGGTTTCCTCAGAGTATGGCCGGCCAATCCATCTCCATTTCTTCCTGCCTATTTGTTTCACAATCAATTCCTGGTAGGTTCGCTCCCAGAGATCTCTGTTGCTGATCTTTTCTGGCCATCTGATCTTGAGTAGTATTGAGCGAAGACAACTGTTAATGAAGGTCTGTAGTTTGATTGAGATGCTCTTTATGACACGTAGTGCAAGTCTCTGATCCGTATAGTAGCACTGACTGACTTCACATTGGAGTTGAAAATCCGGATCTTATTTTTGATGCTGAGTGCTGAGTGTTGATCTCCACACAGACTTGAGAGTAGTGAAAGCTTGTCTTGCTATTCCGATTCTTGCTTTGATATCCTCGTCAGTTCCGTCCGTCTGTAGTTGAAACGATGCTTCCATGATTGCCCATAATCTGTCATATCCTCCATGTCAACCTCGCACCGACGACCCACTCGTCGCTTCCCATTTGAATTTTTCCCCTGATCGATAGCCTCCTCTCAACGTATGCCCGATGTGTAGAGAATTCTTAACAAGTTGATGATACAGAGATACATTTACAAAGCAAATAATCAATAAGCCTTAATGGCTCTCTCATCTTCTGGTGACGACGAAAACACAGTGGAGTCATCAACTCGATGTTCTGTTATTGTTTTTTTTTTAATTTAGAACTTTTCACTAAACTTTATTTATTTTAGTTTTTTTATTTTTTATTACAGCTTGATGCCACATTGTATTTTCAGTACAAGTATGTAATTTTCAGCATGGACATGGGTAGCCCAAATTTTGCAGGCCGACCACAGATATCGGGTGTGCGTCGGCGGGGGATCGAACCCCGAACCATGTGCATGGTCGGCGAGAGTCCTAACCACACCAACACACACACACACAAATAACTTCAAGTCAAGTGGAAAATTCAACAAGTAGGAACTCTATTAATTTTAATCGGTTTTTTCTTTCGGAAAATAAAGCCAACTTACTTTATTTCTAGGTGGTCCTTTTTTTCGATTCGGTTTTCGTTTGGATTGAAGACGTGCTGCTTTCTGTTCAGTTTTCTTTTCACGTTCTTTTTTTCTCAAGAAATACAATGGCAGTGTTCTTCTCTCTCTCTCCGCTCGATCAGAATACAACATTGATGACGATTCACCTAACTGTTAATTTGCATGTAAAACGGGGTGTTTTTTGTTTAATAGCAATCAATGTTACAAGGAGAAAAAAGAGGAATTATCATTAAATAATAAAGCAGGACTACTAGAATATCGAAAACTTTTGTATTTTCATGCTGACTTAGTGTCCATGAAACAGTTTGACAGAAGCCACAAACATATATTCTCTGAGGGGGTCGATGATACTACCATTCAGTTAGCCAAGTAGAATTAAATGCAATGGGATTCGAACCCTAGGTCAACTAGCTAAAAGTCGAGTAATGCAGTCAATCAGCTAAGAGTGTCCACTATCATTATTGCAAAATCCACACAGACTAAAGTTCAACCACCTTCGAGCGTACCACATTGTTTTTATGGGGATTGATTTCCCTATACAACGGGTTCGTGTTTACGTAACATGTTAAATTCGACAAAAATAACCACTGCTAGACCTTGAAAACTAATCACAGCTTAACGAGTAGTCATAGAATCAAGTAATCTGATGTAAACACATTGGATGACTATTTCACTTGATCAGGGCTCAGCCCGTGTGCCTGGGTTTGGCTAAGCTCAAAGAGCAGACTACTTTTTTTTCTGCACCTCAAAATGTATATAACTGGCAGACTCTATGAGATCTTTAATTTAAGTTTATTTTTCCCGTTAATCGATTAGACCGAAATTTCAGCTCCTGATGAGGACGCTTCGATGATGTCTGAGGATTGTTATTTTGGTAGATGATGACTTGCAGTGGAATCTACCAGGATCATAGGTGTCTGCGTTCTATCTCCCATGTGAAGTGGTATAATAAGGTGAGCAATATTGAGGTTAGGCGTCGAGTGCTAGGTAAGGCGGGGAAATCAATCGACGAAACGGTGAAATTACATCGACTGAGATGGTTAGGACATGTGTTTAATAATCGCCTTCCTCGACAATGGGCAATGTTAGCTGATATAGGATCAGGCCGGAAAAGAGCTAGCGGCGGTCAAACCAAAACATGTCACCAGTCAATGAAATCCACAAAAGTTAGTCTAGGCCACGTAGGAAGGTGTAGACTTCCTGGTTGGGGTCCTCGGGACAGCAAAATCCAATGGTTGGAAACAATTGGTGACATGGCTCAAAATCGCTCTCAATGGCTGGCTGGCGCAGATGCATCCACTCCTAGTGACTTATAATTTCCAATTAAACTGTTTTGTTCTTCGTTATTACTATTCCTTTGTCTCACACCTCTGTTTACTGTCTATATTATGCATTTCTTCTCTTACTTTGTGTGCTACATGGAGTGTGGGGACTTGAACTGCTGCACATATGTGCAAAGTTCTATGTCGAAAACCGACCGACCGACCGAACCTACCAGGATGCACTTTTCGTGTTATTCGGGACTTTGTCATCTGGATGCACGTACCTACATTTTCTATTTATGAGTGATAGTGTCCCCCCCCCCCCGGCACTGAACCCACTTGAACCAAGTACTCATCGTTCAGTCTGTATTAATATATATTGAGAGTGGGGAATGCAGTCACATCCAGTTGATGAGTTGCAGAGAGATGCGATGAAATGCGCATCTTGGATTCCACTACCACTGTTAGTCTGCACTCAACAAACTATGAATTCAATTAGATCACTGACTAATTGAATTTCAACAGAGAACTTTGCACAGTTGGACATGTAGGTCAACAGTTGAACTTATTACCACACTTCTATGTTGTATCACACAAAAAGGGATATGTATGGGAGAAACAGCAATAACACATGTCAAGTCATAAAGCTTTAATGGATCTCTGACGATGGCGGGGTAATCTGGGTGATTCAAAAGAGTAAATGCAACTATGCACCATTTTAAACGCTTTTAAGTTACCTTACTGTCAATTTTTGACTGAACATTCTGGACTTGACATTTTTGTAACTGTGAATGCTTTTTATACCACATTGCTTGTCTTTTTAGTTATCTCATCTTTCATCATCACCAGCTACTTCTGGAAATATTCCATCTCCATGTATACGACCACCACTACCGCCGCCGCCGCTACCTGTGAAAAATCAAATCGGTTGAGCTCTACCATCTGAACCAATTCTTCAGCCAATCATCCCGATACAATCAAATCGTCTTCCTACTCCTGCACTGATTCATATACCTCGACAATTTCAACGCTACTTATCTGATGGCAGTGAGGCGCGCCAACGATGGAATCAAGAACATACGCTTTGTCTTATCTGGGAATTATCACCTACACTCTTTCTCCTAGCTTCGCACCAGGAAATGACTGTGTCTCTACTTAGACTGTAAAATTGAGAAGCCATCACATTATCCATTAGACCACTGTGACAAGCTGATGAGACCCAAATAGAACGAAAAGAACATCCCGTACCACCGAAACCGTAACTTTGAGGAATTTTATCCTGCTTACAAATCAAAGCATCCCCATTGAACAAGGAACCCGCATAACAATCAAAAATAAGAATATATATCGACAGGAAATCACGAAATTTTATTTATATATTGAATTGTGTATCAACATAACACTAAATTACTTGATAATGGATAGATGCCATTGCAAAATGAGAAAGCAGTGAGCCATAAGGAGCAGTGTGTGTGTTGTACCCCAAGCTCGACAAAGTTGGTGAAACCTTTTCTTCCTATTCGATATGTACCACTCACAATTTATCTCACTAACCTGTCAGTGTCCGCTATCTATGTCAATATAGAGTAATCCATTGGTCAGAAAAGGACAAATAATCACATGTTGTCACAAGTTAGGCGTCAACCAATCAGAATCCAGCACATGCAGTCAGAGTTAACACCTCCTAGTCAAGCCTCGTGATTGGATCAATCAATATGTATGTCATATGTTTCTGTAATTTCGGTCACACTTTCCTCTCACTCTCACTTGTTTTGGAAATACACGTTTCCACCCCCCCACACACACCCGCCCAACTATGTGAGCCACTCTGGATTTTAGTAGTTCGAGGGGGTCAGGGGGAATATAATCGACCAGGAAACTACCGCATCACATCAAACGTTCACATATCGCCAACCAGTATCCATACTCAAAGACAGCGACATCATAAATATTTTTAATTTTTTTAGAAATAAAATCAAACAACTATGGACAGGGATATCAAAGACAGGATGGGATTGAGAAGTAGCTGACTACCCGGCTGACAATGGCACAGAAGTGCACCAGTTCGAGCTGCCACTCTCCCACCCAGTACCACACAAAGGAAAGAGAAGAAAGTCAAGAGACATCCCAAAGAACGATAATACGCAGGAATTTCAGGGAGAAAGAGAAGTAGCATGGAAAAACATGAGGGTTTCACTAGATATGGGATGTCACAAAGAGTGAATGCATTTACACTATTGAGGACGATTTTTAGCCATACCACCGATTGTCTCTAGCCACTGACTCGTAGAATTCCACGGCTCAGCAGTTCGCTCCGTCTTTCTCTATGGCTCTGAAACATGACCAATACGAGTTGAAGACATGAAAAGATTGACTGTCTTTGATCATAGATGTCTACGATCTCTTTCTCACGTTAGGTGGTATAATAAGGTAAGTAATGTTGACATTAGGCGTAGAGTGTTGGGCAAAAAGGGGAAATCAATAGAAAAGGCTATGAAGTTACATAGATTGAGATGGCTAAGTCACGTGCTGCACATGCCTCACCATCGCCTCCCCCGACGGACGGGCATTACTAGCTGATATAGGTAGGCGCAGGTTGGAAAAGAGTAAGTGGTGGCCAAACAAAAACATGGCTTCATCAATCCATGAGATCCTTGACAGTTAAACTGAGTCAGTCAGGTAGTGAGGGAGATGCAGACTTCCGGGTTGGGGCCCTCAGGACTCTAAGAATCAATGGCTGGACACCATAGGTGACATGGCTCAAAATCGTTGTCAATGGCTAACGCAGATGTATTCAGTCTCTGTAATCTTTATTGATATTCCTTTCTACCATTACTCATTCTGTTTCACTCTTATACTTGTCAAAACTCTATTGATTCTCTTCATCACTCATCTTCTTGTCTACCTTTGTGTGGTATTTGGAACGTGGCAACTCGAAGTGCTGCACTTCGGTGCCATGTTCTATGTTGAATCCAGACAGACACACAGACAGAATCCCACGGACCCCAACCATATATTAGCAGTCTACACCTGCCTACGTGGCTGGTTCAAACTAACTGTCAAATTTCCGCGTTTCCCCGTTTGACCACCACTAAATTTGATCGAGTAAGGCGATAATCTAGGCATGCGTAACAACATGTTCTAGTCATTTCAATCGGTGTAGCTTGACAATCTCATCATCGATTAATTCCTTCCCCCCTCCTTACCTATTACTCGACGCCTAACCTTAATATTACCCAACCTAACATGACGTGGGTGGGTGGAGGGGTGTAAAACGCAGACGTCTATGATCCAAGTCAGCCAACCTTTTCATGTCTTTCACTTTCAACGGCCATCAAAAGGAGGACAGAGTAAACTGCTGTTGAGAAGTACACACGTCCTTTGATTGATAACCAGTCGGATATCACGTCTACACACACACCATAGTGATTCAAATTAGCGTAGGGATCGACAGTCTTTAGCGCAATGAAAAAGATACCATATGGTTCCGAAGCGTAGCATATAACCTCACCGAAATCCCTTCACAAACAGGCTGTAGACTTTCAGGCGATGACGTACATCAGATAGCATGAATGAACAAATACCGAGGAACTCTGGTAGGCGGACGAACAGTCAAGAATCTATTTACTGCCTAACAAATATGCAAAAGGAAATAGACTCCCAAACCACTTCACACACATACACACCAGAGACCATCGATGATTTGAAGATGGATAAGAGGGTGACAGCTGAGAATGACGGGAAGAGAGCCAAGTACAACAAAGTTGCACGACTGAGGCCCTAGGTTTCACTCGGAACCAATGCTAATAATACGCAAGTAATAATACAACTACAGCATTTCTTCGGGTACCTGAAACACAAAGACGGTTAGTGTTGCGTGACCGCAGAGCCCAAGGGACAACTGCTTGAGGCCGGTCACACACGGCCTGTATGAACTGGTTTCTGGGATTGGTTCCGTATTAGTAAACTCACTGTAGGGTAAGTCGGGATGTACAATTTTCGGGGTCGACCTTTTCTAACCGCCTCTCTCCGGCATGCCAGTCATCTGAGGGAAACACCTTACTGTGGCTGTTACATCCCTGTTACCCAGCAGTACAACTTCGCCCTCAGAACCCCCAGCATAGTGTAGGAAAGATTTTCACACAATGCCTGTAACTGCTTTTAGTCTAATCGCTATCCTAACAACCTTCCTGGCATGGTAGGACCTGCAGATACATTGGTTCCAGCCAGTGCAGCTTGAAGTTTAGAAACAGTTAACAGATTTCTTCAGAAATCAAGTGTTCAGAAGGAGACTTACTACAGGTTACTCTGCTGAAGCATCGAGTGTGTAGCGAAAATCCGTGATGACTCGAAAGAACGGTTTATAATTAGCGCGGTAACACACAGACACCTGGACGTGACGCTGGTGAAATCACACAACGACGCCGCCGCCTTTTGTTAGATTTCAAAAATATAATTTCTTGAAACACTTTTGGCACACTCAGTAAAAAAATTAACTACACACGCATACACACACACACACACACAATGATTGATTAGTGTAGAAATCATACCGGTAATTTATCACGAGAACGTCGTGGTAATGCTGTTGATAGTGTCAATGGAGGCACCATCCCCATCTGCCCACTGTCTTCATGTAGAGAAGATCTACGCTCAACTTTTGATTGGCGTATTGATGATGCAGGCAGGGGACGGTAAAAACCTGAAAATTTTGACAAAAGAAAAAGAAAATTAACTGACAACATGATGATGAGGGTGATGATGATGAAAGCAAATAGCCGTTTTAACACATCATATAGCTAAGAGTTCACAGAAGAACTTCACAGGACAAGCACACGTCAAATACCTTTTTACCACTATGTGTCAGTGAGTGAATACTTACTTTACTTTACTTCGGCTATCTCCTACGGGAGGATGAGCCACCTTCATGAACATCTCGAATCAAGAGAGTTCATGAAGTTTCATGGGAATTTGGTACGAGTGATGTCCCCAGAATCGCTCGGCCTTTTGTTTGAGGGTGCAGCTCTAGCCTTTACACAACCGAGTGTGACCTACAAGGCAGTAGGAGTGGAGTAGGGAGTCCACTATCCATTGGCAGCCGGTGACCGGAGTTCGGTTCATACGCCTTTTTGAATGGGGCCAGACATCCAGGACATCCAACAAGTCCTTTGTCCATACGTCTGCCGGTGAGCTCCAGTGAGCTTCATACGCCAGTCGTTGGAGGTTTGGAATCAGGGTTTAGCCATCTCCCCTAGACTGTCATCCAATGGACAGTCAACCCGGTGAAGAGCGCCGGGCATCCGCTTTCGCCCTCTCACTTTGGTGAAAAACACCTCCGCCACGTGAAGGCAGTGAGTAGGACTTCCTCAGGAGAGGCTATTTAAGACGCCCAGTCATATGGGAGCATTTCAAGAGGTGTGCGGAGGGGTGAGTGAATGAAATCAACCGAGATTCTGTAAATACACTGTGTGATGGATGATCTGGTCATAGGTATCATCAGTACCTCCCTCCACCCACAATAAGTACATATCTCAACTGTCACAGTACGAATACTATATATTTTGCAAAACGTTGAGAGTGGAATATGGACGCCGACCTGGTGTCAGACACCACAGTAATCACGAGTATCGCTTGTCTATGTGTATACAACGGCTAACCGACATGTAATCAGCATCAATAAAATAGTGGGCGTCATATCTCATGTAGGCAGACTGGACATCAATTATCATATCAACAAATATGCCAGTCCACATTTTTCACCGTATGGTTTCAACTTATATTTAACATCGCAATAATAAGAGCATAAAGTTCCTCCTAACCCACAGGGATATAAGTCGTAGAGAGAGAGAGAAACAGGCAGACCACCCACCTCCGACTCCCATAATATCACACATACATTTTGTTGACGCGTGCCAACAATAAGCATTCAATCCGGGGGTCCAGAGTTTCCTCCTGACATTTGCCTCCATCAATCAAACATCGATTGAGAGTGCACCACAATGATGATTACAATGTTTCAAACATGACCGTCAGCATTCAATCTGCACTAACATCAAGGAATAGGCAATCATGACGCTGGTTACTGGCGTGGTGACTCATCTGTGCATGTATTACAGTTGTCCTGCAGGAGGTCAATCCTGAGGCGCGGAATAACGCGATGACAAAGTCTCTGCCTACAGCACTAGAATACATCTCAACTGAAAGCTACACATGAGTCACAACAGAGTGCACTAAATTCTCAACGTAGAATCGTGCACCGATTCGCAGCAGTCCAAGTTACCAGAATACGTGAGGCATACACACAAAAAATGAACAGCAAGAAGAAGAGCAAAAGAAACAACGGATTTCAAATATCATCCTACCCTGATCACCCATCTGAACCATTCCACTCTCTCTAACCGGTCTTGGCGTCAAAAATGTTTCAGCCTCATAACCACCCTGTAAAGCAAAAGCAATTTTCAAAACAAAAAAACAGAAAATCATTTAAGATCCACCAAAAAAATCTTCAAAAGAAAAAAACTGACAAAGTTAAACTATCTCATAGCCAAAAAGTCGCAGTAACCTTGAACAACCAATAAGAATTCAGATGCAAAAACAAGTCGAATAGTCGTTGAAAACCTTGCGAACATGATATTACACACTGGCTAATTGTCACTTATGTGTTGTAAGAATTCCTCCAAGTCACTCTACACGAATAATCTATAGAGAAAGCAAAGCATGCACGATAGATGTATCCATGCGGGTAACTGTAGATCATGGTACTTTGATATGTAACGATACTTATAACACTGTTCTTTAACCTACGTCTAATAACTCTGACTGTAATCCTGGCCTTAGCGTTAGACCCTAACCTTAATCTTGAGAAACCAAAACCCCACCTAACAGTATACACTTACAGAAGAAGTGCACAGGGAATTAAGTCGAATACTGTATCTAGCCTCGCAAAAATGGCAAAAGGCAGGCATGGTTTGATTTGGAATGACACCTTTCATTTATTTTATTCCTTCATGTTCCCAGTGGAACAAAGGGCTTCAAGCTAGAGGCTTGAAGTTCCTGTAGCAGTGGTGTTTATTTTAACAGGATGGGGTTGCTGCTGGCCTCATGCCCAACCTTTCCTCTTCACCAGCTTTATTTCTGGCTTAGTGAGGTAAAGGAGTGTGCGCTGGCCGGGGATCGAACGCCAGAGCATGTGCATGGTCGGCGAGCGTTCTAACCGCTATGCCACCGACGCACGAAACCTTTCATAGCGTTCCCTAAATCTTATTTGTACCTGAAGGTCAACTCTTTTTGTCGTTATTCATGTAGATGAGACAGTGCTTACACAAAAAGGAAATATAATCGAGGTAAATTGAGCATCAATCAGCAGTGGGTATTGGGATTATATTACACTACTCGCTGTGAAAAGGATAAATTGAGACGATCTCTGATCACGGTGCCAACGTTCAGTCCTGCCTGGTATAACGACTCACACAGACCCGTGGAGTAGCTACAGCCAACTGTTATCCCTGGGCTATATTCTCCCTCGACGGTACACCCATCAATTCCATCGAAAGGCACAGCAATCACATAAAACAGAGGTTCAAAGCGCTGAACATTTCAAGAAATACGATGATTTACAGTTATCTCTAGGAATTCATGTACAGAAATCGGTGTAACCTAACGATGTGGACTCCTATATAGAGAAATTGGGAGATTTTCTTCGAACATACATACAAGAATATTATCCTATGTAACTATTTTTTTCAAATTACGCGGCTTTACTTCGGACGCATTTGATTGGTCGACAGAGGTTTTGTCAAGGTCAATCATCCGTTCGTTCATTGGGTAGTTTCGTCTTGGGCTGCTATAGTTTAGAATCACCTGGTATATTTTTAACTTCGCCGACATTAATTTCATTTCACCAAAGTAATGCATAAAATACTTTCATAACCACAAGATGCAAAAAGTAAAAGTAAGAGTAAGTTTACTTGATATCTTGACCTATCTTCCTGACGCTGACGATAAACACCATAGTCTTGAGGAGCAACATCGTGAATTGATGATCCTGGACGTTCAACTCCTAGAAGTAGAATAAAACAACAGGGAAAATAGAGAAAAAGGACGTCACTCATCAGTGCAGTTAGTTGATTTACACACAAATAATACAGAGACATCGGGAGGGGGTGGGGAATAACTACCAACAAAACATAGTATGCGGCAATACCTACACTTATGCCAGTAACAAATGTGCTCCTTCCTCATAGAATGCAAAAAATAGAATTAGATGAAAGGAGAATAATTTAAATCGATAAACAACGACACTGTGCTGATACATCATACAATAACAATAATAAGATCTAAGAGCGATAATAAACTATGGAAAATAATTAGAAATAATGTAAGCATAAAACAGAACTCAGAGGCGACTACTTCGCTACTACCCAGGAGTGCCACCGACAATTATACATCTCCATCCAACAGCTGTACGACAATGCTGCATGCCAAGTAATCCACAACGGGAAACTTATGGAATCCTTCGAAGTGAGGACAGGAGTAAGACAAGGCTGGCTGCCTACTATCGCCAATGATTTTCCTGATTGCAGTAAATTGGATAATGAGACAAACAGTGGGCAATGAGGAACATAGAGAAAAAGGAGGTAATGAAGATTCTTGGACAACACCACCAACAGCAACAACAACAACAGACAACAACCAGCATAAATGGAAGGAAACTGAAAGAAACAACCTCTTTTACCTACCTGGGAAGCATCGTTTCAACTACATGCGGAACTGACGAGGATATCAAAGCAATAATCGGAAAAGCAAGATAAGCTTTCACTACTCTCAAGTCTGTGTGGAGGTCGACAGCACTCAGCATCAGAAATAAGATCGGGATTTTCAACTCCAATGTGAAGTCAGTCAGTGCTACTATATGGATCAGAGACTTGCACTGCGCGTCATAAAGAGCATCTCAAACAAACTACAAACCTTCATTAACAGCTAGCTGTCTTCGCTCAATACTACTCAAGATCAGATGGCCGGCCAGAAAAGATCAGCGACAGAGATCTCTGGCAATGAGCAAACCAACCAACCCAGCAGGAACCGATTGTGAAACAAATAGGCAGGAAGAAATGGAGATGGATTGGCCATACTCTGAGGAAACCATCAAGTGACATCACTAGACAAGCCATCGAGTGGAACCGGAATGGGAAGTGGCGAGTTGGTCGTCAGTGCAAGGGTGACTTGGAGGAGGTCATGTGAAGAGGAGATGAAAACGTGTGGGCAGACTTGGAGCCAGGTGAAGACTCTAGCAGAGAACCGAACGCAATGGAGACGCACGGCTGAAGGCCTATGTTCCTCTAGGAATTAAAGGAAATAATAATAATGCATATAACAGAACTCACCGAATCCATTCATCATATCCATATCACTATTGTCGTATTGATCACTTCGTCTCAAACGGCCAGTTGATGGTGATCTCATATCATAACTTGGAAACTTGAATATACAAAAAAATAAAATAATCAAAACAATAAACAGTAATGTTGATTCGACTGAAAACTAGTTAGTAATCAGTATTGTGTTTAGTCCTTCTTTTTTGTTCAGTGCAGCCTAAATTCTATCAGTAAGGTCAAGTTTACAATTTGGTCACCAAGCCACTACTACTATGCGACTAGCCATCACGATGCACTCTGACTGGAGGTGTAATCGACAGGAAGCCCCCTGAACCACCTAGATTTCTTGCTGGCTAGCTGGCACTCACCAGTTAACAAGGATTATCTGAAACGTTGAAGGAACCCAAGTCCCCTCTCTGTCTAGACACTTGATACCAGTTACTAACTAGTGTCCAGTAAAAGTATCCAATAGAGTCCTACAGGAAATCTATTGCAAGCCCGAATAGCTCAGTGGAAACGTCTCTGACCGTATCACTGGGTGATGCCAGTTCGAATCTCAGAATACACAAAAGTTTCTTCAAGATTTGCAGACACGCTTTTCTGATCGTAACTGCCGACAAGCACAAGACCTAGGTCAGGTGGAGTTTCCTGCCGATTGCCTCCGACTATCTAATAGTAACATTGATCAATAATTGTATTCAATAATAATAATCATAATAATAACAAAATCACATATATACACAGAGACATTGCCCAGAATGTTTAAATCATATTTTTATTGTATATAGGTTAATTACCTGAAATCCTTGTTTCCCTTCAACTCGACGATGAACAGAAGGACTTAAAGAGTCGTCCATGTGAACAGATTTTCTAAATGAAGATTGTGGTTCTCGTAAACCTGTAAAATATTTGACAGAAGAACGCGATTATTATGCATGTAAATATGTGGTGCAAGAGATGGCTGCTAGCCAAATTGGTAGACAGTAATTGACGTCAATATTCATGTCTCAAATATTAGTCATGTGAAAACAAGATCAAAAAGATGGACAGCAGACTTTGCGTAGGCGGATACAATTAGCAGACAGATGATCTGAGACACTCGAGACAGCAACAAAGAGATGAAAGATTAACTTTTAGTGAGAAACAACCACCAATCAGAAAACTGTGTTTGTCAGCTAACAATAATCTATAATAATGTACACGAAAATCTATAAATATGTGTTGATTTCATTAATAAACAATCTGTTGCCTGACTCTTGCCTTCTGCCGTTACAAGAGAGAGAGAGAGAGACCATATTTACACGCAGACCAAATTCATAATTTGCAATCTCTACACAGTTGGAGCGTTGAAATTTCACTGTAGTCGCCCATTTGGTATGACCAGTTCGACTGAATAGCTAACCAGAAATCTGGTGTGGTTTGAACTGATTCCGCTCACAGGATGAGAACTGAGTTGAACCAGATACACACCGTTACTTATGGGCTCAGCCCCAAACGTGGAGAACGACACTCAGGTGTTTAGATCCCCTCGATCTATCTATCTAGCTAGCTAGCTAGACATATGAGAATATGAGACATATGACAATTCAATATTGGAGCATTGACAGTGTCAACAAAACAATATGGTCGGTTTGAATTAATTGAGCATGTTGATAACCTTCACTTGATTGGAAAATTGTGTCAACACTGATGAACTGATTGATTTTCGACGAGATCTCAGCACGGATATCAAAATGTACGTGTAGGATTTGCTAATCTACATCATCTCTGGTGTAGATGTGATATCCAACTGGCTCAGCAGCGGTTTACTCCGTCCTCCTTTAACGGCTGTGAGTGAGACATGACCATTGAAAGTGGAAGATGTGAATAGCCTGGCTAGCTGTCTTCGATTATAGATATCTACGTTCTATCTCCCATCTTACGTGGTAATATAACAGGGTGAATAATATTCACGTTTGACGTCAGATATTACGTAAGGAGGGAAAATCAATCGATGAGGTTGTGAAGCTACGCCGATTGAGATGGCTCGACCAAAGGGCGTGTTTACTGCTCATCAGTCCACTCCGTTCTCCTTTATGGCTGTGAGTGAGACATGGCCATTGAGAGTGGAAGACATGAAAAGATTAGCTGTCTTCGATCATGGGTGTCTGCGTTCTATCTCCCATGTGAAGTGGTATGATAAGGTGAGCAATATTGAGGTTAGGCGTCTAGCAGTGGTAGGTAAGGAGGGGAAATCAGTCAAGGAGACTGTGAAATTACATCGACTGAGATGGTTAGGACATGTGCTACGTATGCCTAGTCATCGCCTTCCTCGACAATGGGCAATGTTAGCTGATATAGGGTCAGACTGGAAAAGAGCTAGCGGCGGTCAAACCAAAACATGGCACCAGTCAATGAAATATACAACAGTTAGTCTAAGCCAGGTAGGAAGGTGTAGACTTCCTGGTTGGGGTCCTCGGGACGGTAAAAACCAATGGTTGGAGACAATCGGTGACAAGGCTAGCTCAAAATCGTTCTCAATGGCTGGCACAGATGCATCCACTCCTTGTGACTTATAATTTCCAATAAAACTGTTTTGTTCTTCGTTATTACTATACCTTTGTCTCACACCTCTGTTTACTGTCTATATTATGCATTTCTCCTAATTTCTTCTCTTGCTTTGCGTGCTACATGGAGGGAGTGTGGCGATTTGAACTGCCGCACAAATGTGCAAAGTTCTATGTTGAAAACCGACCGACCGACCGACCGATTGAGATGGTTAGGTCATGCATTATGCGCACTAAGATCTCCGAGATCCATCGAATCCTTATTATACTTATTATATAATCCTTCACATAAAAGACAGGACACTTAATGCTATAGAGTGAGTAATCACTTATTTTCTAGGCCAAACAATTCATATTATCACATCATGCCGACAAACGAAAAAGATACCTCATTGGTTTAGTTCGTTAGAAGTTGATTACCAGACTCCATGTCATACCTTCACCGGATAATTAGTCTGATGCTCACTAGCGACAGACTCTTTACAAGAAGCTACCTGGAGTTCTAGTGAAAAGTCGTAATCAGCGGGTTCCATCAAGTCTGGTAGGAGAACAACTACCCACCGATGACATTTGACTGACAGTTGTGCTAGATATATCGTGAAATAGCAGATAATGGATTTCACGGGTCATTCACTGGGGAACAGATCTCTGTGGCTCAATGGCTGGTTGGCTAGATTCAACATAGAACTTGGTACCGAAGTGCAGCAACTCGAACAGTTGCCACGTTCCAAATACCACACAAAGGTAAACAAGAAAATGAGTGAAGAGAATCAATAATAGAGTTTTGACAAGTATAAGAGTGACACAGAATGAGTAATGGTAGGAAGGAACATGAAAGATTACACAAGAGACTGAATACATCTGCATAAGCCATTGACAACGATTTTGAGCCATGTCACCTATTGTCTCCAGCCATTGATTCTTAGAGTCCCGATGACCCCAACCCGGAAGTCTGCATCTCCCTACCTGACTCAGTTTAACTGTTAAGGATTTCATGAATTGATGAGGCCATGTTTTTGTTTGACCACCACTTACTCTTTTCCAACCTGCACCTACCTATATCAGCTAGTAATGCCCGTCCGTCAGGGGAGGCGATGGTTAGGCATGCGCAGCACGACCGCGCTTCCTGCTGCCGTGTCACAGGGCAGAAGTGGCTCAATGGCCTATGAGCTCGCCTTGTAAATGTAAGGCCCTGAATCCAAGCCCGGGTCGGTGCGTATACTGCTTAAGAGTCCTAATTTAGGACGAAAACAGCTGCCAAGTACTCCCAGGTTTCTCAATGGTGTTTGTCTAACTGATGTCAGCTAGCTGATGATTACACACGCCTGTAACCACCAATCAAATCCCTACAAACCAACATCTGATTATCATTATACGTCAATACTTGTTGTATAACGGTTAGTGTGATACTATATAAGCCGACTAAGCTGCAGTAAGGCAGAGTGAGTGAGTGAGTGAGTGAGTGAGTGAGTGAGTGAGTGAGTGAGTGAGTGAGTGAGTGAGTGATTGAGTGAGTGAATGTAACACCAGTACATACCACCTCTCTAATGGTCATTTAGTATAATATATAACAAAATCTATGCCACAACAATACCACTGCTTACTCACCATAATCGTCCATATCCAAAACATCTGGCTCCATACGTCTCGGTGTTATTTGCGGTCTAACATCATGAGTTGGAAACTATGGATTAGGAGATAGGAGAAAAAAAATAAAAAAAAACACCGGTCAGATAGACAGACAAATAGATAGATAGATGTTTTGTACATCAAAATTCAAAAAGATTTTATAATCATTTTTCAATAGTACAATTTCATCACAAAATTTACCTGAAACTTCGGTATCCCTTCAGAACGACGTGGAGGACGAGGAATTGCAGCATTTTGTGGTTCGCTTGGAACTGTAAAGTGTGAAAATAGATAACAGAGTTGATATGTATCACTATAATGTATATTATCTGAATTATTAGTGTTACGATTTTCACGCATTTCACTAAAAGTGTACTTCTCTCCTCATCAAACTGGCATAAATCAGTCGGGTTGGTGTCAACGGGAATGCCTCACTACTAGGTTTTGCCTTATAATTAAAATTGAATATTCCCATAATTAATTCAGAACAAAATATTTAGAGCGAACAGTTGTTTTCAATAAATTCTTCTTCAGGCTCTACAATTATAAATCCATTAATTAATTTAAGCATACAATAGCCAGCCAGTTAAGGCAAATTAGAATCATATCAGAAAGTATATTGTGGAAGAAGTATAAGTAGGATGGGATGGAACAATAGTCAGATAGTTTCTTTTTAATATACATGGTCAATGAGAACATGGGACAAAATCAGATGAAGTAATTTAATTTAATGATGTGTGTATATATATAAATATAGTCAACAGAAATACAGGTTTCGAGAGTGTGTGTAATCAAATCAGGGTGTGTGAGACAATATGAAAATAAACCAACGAATGGGGCGGTCTAGACATAAGTTCAAGGTTGAAAATAACGACAATAAGAATGATTGTCAAATAATAACGATGATATGGTGTAAAATTACAAGCACTATTGGTGAATGATTGTCAAATAATAATAATAATGAATATAATGAAGTGGAATGAACAGGATTTTGTAAATACGATAGCAAGTTAGAAAAGCACTATTTAAACCTAAGGTAATAAAATCATAAGAAAGTTACAAAGGGGAAATTGCAGCTGACATTGTTCCATCCCATCTTATACTTGTTCCACGATACACTTTCTCATATGATTCTAATTTGCCTTTACTGGCTGGCTATTGTATGCTTAAATTAATTAATGGATTTATAATTGTAGAGCCTGAAGAAGAATTTATTGAAAACAACTGTTCGCTCTAAATATTTTGTTATAATTAAAATTCACTACAATACAATACACTTAACAACACAGATGGGTCTCATTAGGTCACACTTAGGCAGGTGCGTCTACGGGTTCGAGAACATTTAACAGCTTAGTTCAGTAATGGCGAAATTAAATGCATAAAAAGCTCGATTCTGCCACACTTGGTCGATACCGGACATAACATGGATGTCGACACAGCCTTCAGGGTTATATATTAAATTCCGAAGTCGTTATCATGTACAGTTCGCTTACGTCTCCTGCACACAGTTGAAACTAATGCAATAAGATCGACTAAACTGGAACTTTTTATCCAAAAAGAACAGGTCCAGACGCTGTTCCTGCCGCGACCAAACTTGGATTAATGTTTCTTCTTCTCACTAAGAGTGCCTCTTCCTATTATCCCTCTTGAACTTTTTTCTCTTTTTTTTCTTTGCTTATTATTACAATGATTATTATTCGTTATAATTTATACCCTTCATTCAAACATTCTCTCAATACCATCGAATTCCCCATTTATGCTATTCGGGCTTATTATTAGTGATATAATCTCTTTTTAAGTATTGGTTCGATTGCTTGGAGGATTTCATCATGAGCTGACATCAGTCAGAGAACCACTGGAAAACCTAGGAGTACTGGACAGGTATTTCGTCCTAGTTTGGGACTCTTCACCAATACGCACCGACCGGATTGCGGATACGCCTTGCTTCCCTGTGAGTGCCAACTAGTACGAAACCTAGGTGATCCAAGGCTTCCTGCCAATTGCCTCCATCTGTTTCATTTCACACATTCACTATTTCATGATGCAATTCTCATTGCAGTCTTACTATCTCCTTCTGTTTAATACATACCACTTTGTACTAGCCACTGACTCACCTGACACCTTCTATAACCTTGAAATGACTTGTCAATTTTCCTACCCCACACTGTACAAATCTATTATGACATCATTGTCTCCCATTTCACATGTTACTGAAACCCTATGTCCCACTCGGAACCCAAGGGAAAAATAATAATAATAACAAATTCTGATTGGTTCATTTCCAGACTTGATATCAACCATATAGAAATCAGCTTGACCCAGGCTATATTTTTTTCGTTTTACTTTTTTCAAACTATACCAAATGAAACAGAGACGATAAAATTAAAATTATATATTAGATGCAAAAAGAATTACTTACTGAAACCGTCCATTTCTACATCACCTGCATCGTGTAAACTTGATCTTGACGGCATTAATGGCCTGACTTCATGCGTGGGAAACTGAAAAAAAAGTAATCAGAGTAGCACTAACTATCGAATTAAAAATTCATTTCGTCATCAGTTATTCACTAAATAATACATGATGACTACAGGGAAAGATTAGCAAGCTTTCATTACTCTCAAGTCTGTGTGGAGGTCAACAGCACTCAGTATGAAGAATAAGATCCAGATTTTCAACTCCAATGTGAAGTCAGTCAGTGCTACTCACCATACGCATCAGAGACTTGCACTGGGCGTCATAAAGAGCATCTCAAACAAACTACAGACCTTCGTCAACAACTGTCTTCGCTCAATACTCAAGATCAGATGGCCGGCCGGTCAGAAAAGATCAGCAACAGAGATCTCTGGCAATGAGCGAACCAACCAGGAGCCGATTGTGCAACAAATATGCAGGAAGAAATTGAGGTGGATTGGCCATACTCTGAGGAAACCATCAAGTGACATCACAAGACAGGCCTTCGAGTGGAACCCGAAAGGGAAGCGGCGAGTTGGTCGTCCAAGGGTAACGTGGATGAGGTCAAGTGAAGAGGAGACAAAACCATGTGGGCAGACGTGGAGCCAAGTGAAAACGTTGGCGGAGAACCGAACGCAATGGAGACGTGCGACTGAAGCCCTATGTTCCTCTAGGAGTTAAAAAAAGCAATAATAATACAGGGGAAGAGAATATTTTCAAACAACGCTACTGCATAGACAAGACTGCCGCCTTCTATCTAAAACCAATGATATTCCCAACTGTGATGGATTGGATATTACTATATACCGCGTGGACAGAGAAACAGACTCTAGAAGATGTGGACTTTGTGGATGGTTTGTCACGCGAACTCGAAGATCTACGGAAGAAAAACAAGCATACTGGCAGAAGAAGCAGTGAAGACAGGACTTTAATTGAACATAAGGGAGACAGACAGACGTGAGGAAGATACCTAACCGATAACAACAGGCGTCATTCACAATGAATGAGGCATTTCTGAAAAAGGTCACTTCCTTCACTTATCTAAGCATCATCATCATCATTTCAACTGCAGGCAGCACAGATGAGGGTGTCAAAGACAGGCCTTTATTGTTTTATAATCACTGACTGATTTCAACATAGAACTTTGGCACCAATGTGCAGCAGTTCGAGTCCCCCCACACTCACTCCATGTAGCACACAAAGCAAGAGAAGAATGTAAAAAGAAACGCAAAATAGAGACAGTACACAGAGATATGAGGCAAAAAGATCAGTAATATCGAGGAACCATATAGTTTTATTGGGTATTATAAGTTCACAAGGAGGGAATGCGTCCACACCGTTGAAAACGATTTTGAGCCATATCATGACCAATTGTCTCCAGCCTTCATTGCTTCCTACCATCCACAAGACCCCAACCAGAAAGTTTACACCTCCCAAAGTGACTTGCTGGCTTAAACTAACCGTTGTGAATTTCACTGACTGGTGAAGCCATGTTTCGGTTTGACCACCACCGCTAGCCTTTTTCCAACCTGATCTTATGTCAGCTAACATTGTCCGTCATCGAGGAAGGCGATGGCTAGGCATACGTAACATATGTTCTCGTCTATTGACTTCCCCTCTTTACCTCACACTCGACGCCTAACCTCAATATTGCTCACCCTATTAAACCACTTCACACGGGAGACAGGACGCAGGCACCTACGACCAAACACGGCTAACCAGCCTTTTCATGTCTTCCACTCTCAATGGCCAGGTCTCGCAGTCATAACTGAGGACAGAGCGAACTGCTGCTGAGCAGTACACACGTCCTTTAGTCGATAACCAGATATCATGTCTACGCCAGTAACCGCCTAAACTGGCATATGCGAAACTAGCCTTCTGTATCCGTGCTGAGATTTCGTCAGCGACCAACCCGTTGGCATTGGCTGATGAAACTACCTATATAAGTGAAGTGGCCTACGTGCTCTACCACTTCATTCCCTATATCTAAGCTAGGAGTTAATGTATTCCAGTTCTGTAGCATCATTTGTAATCAGTTCGTAATTCTACTACACTCGGGGTCAAAATCCATATCTTCAACACTAATATCAAGCCAGTACTTCTCTGTACGGCTTCAAAAACTTGGATTGGAGTGCCACGAAAAGAATATCTGACAAGCTACAGCAGACCTCCATAACAGTTTGGCGACACTCCATGCTTAAGATAAGATGGTAATAACGAATAAACAACGAGGAACTCTGGCAGGTGGCGAGCAAACCAAGAACCTACTGCCTAACAAAGACGCAAAAGAAAATTGAGATGGATTGCACACACACTGAGTGAGGAGACCGTCGGGGAAGAAATGTAAGCTTATGGGTAACCGTGAAGCCTTATGTCCCCCACTCAAAACCCAAGGGAACCAATTATAATAATAATAATAACAATAATAATTACCTGGAATCTTTGTTTTTCCTCAGAGTGGTGATGTGCAGCAGGCGGAAGTGGTATTCTTTCTAAAGACTCGTCCAATTGACTCGGTCTTCTTGCTAGTGATGATCGCGGCTGACTTGGACCTGTAAATTCAGAGTCAAAATACGTACGTAGAATTAAGTATATATACTAACAAGGTGGAAGCAAGCGTTTTCAGGTACATTACGCAATATGAACAAAATTGTCTAAAAAATGGTAGAGAAACAATGACTAACAGACAGACGGAGGCCATAAACATATATTACAAGGTTATTCAAGTATTGGTTTGTAGGGATTTGGTTGATTGGTCACAAGATTTCATCACGAGCTGACATTGGTTAGAGAACCATTGGAAAACCAGCACTGGAGTACTGGGTAGCTGTTTCGTCCTCGTTTGGGATCCTTCAGCAGTACGCACCCACCGCCAGGATTCGAACCCAGGACCTTCCGATTACAAGGTGAGCTCGTGAGCCATTAAGCCACTGGGACCCGATCAAATGGCCACTGCATGAATTCTAACTTCTGCCAATTCACGATATAGTGCAACCGCTAGCCAATGTCTTCGGCGATTGTCTTCACACCCGACCTGCTGCACCCTACTGGTCACGACTTCCCACTGGAACCCTAGGTAACTACCTACATGAATAGGGCCAGTCACCAGTGAGCATCTCATTCATATTCATATTGCAAGGTTAATTCAAATCAATTGCCCAATATCTCAATCAATACAACTGTGAAGGCTCCACAGTCAATGATCCCATCACTAGACACCAGTTACACGCATAAACCACTGCACCTTACTCCTATCCATGTACTTTTTTTAAAAAGATAAGTAGCACTACTATACGGTTTTCTTGATGCTTCATGGAGATATGATCCGTTGAATTGAGCACACGCGTTTCAGACAATAGCGCATTGGGTCGATCTTCACTTGATCTAATTCAGCTGCAACACCTACGTAGTATATTATTAACCTTGACATGATGAGTACGGCTCACAGCTGTTTACGACTAAGTACCTAACTAATGTCCTTAACAGCAGTTGTACGAATTCACTATTAGTTTTCGCAATCAATCAATCAATCACTACATTACAACATCACACTAACTGCAAAATATTAACTCCGAGGTGTATTCTCATTCACCTGTTAGCTTCCACACAGCAAGACATGTGAACACTGATCAAACCAAAAGAAAGAAAGGTTAAACACTAATGTGTACGCATAACGTTCTCTTTATTCTCTGTGCGCCGAGTGGAACACTGGAGTTTATGTTGCATTGCTGCTATTATGAGGCGATATTTCTAACCTCACGCTCAATCTCTGCTTCTCACGTCCTACTATATCGGCTAGTAAACTACTCGAGGTTTAACAGTGCGTCATAGTTCATCGACGACACTGTTGATCCAGACAGACGTAGTTCCCCTATTCACTAATGTCCCTTTAACAGGAACAGCTTTTATTCAATGGTCAAATATACCAACAGAAAACTGGAGCAACCATGGGTTCTCCACTGGGTCCATGACTCGCCGATTGCTTCATGGCATACCTTCAGTCAAATGTCCTCGCACAATCAACAACTAATCGTTTCAAAGCTTATAAGCGGTACATGGATGATATATATATCAGAACAGAATCCTTCTTGGAAATTTTTAACAATGCTGATAGATCGGTTGAATTGAAAACTGAAGCGGAATGCGAAGGTAAATTATCCTTCCTAGATGTACAGCTTTCATGACAATCAGATGGAAGTCTACAAAGACAGATCTACCATAATCCAAAATAGAATGGATAACTGACAAACTTTCACAGTTTTGTTCCAATAAACAGAAAAAGAAATCTCATAGTATCTCCTGTTGCAACGAGGATCTACCATAAGTGCACCGAAGGAATTGGAATCTTTCACAGAAACACTAGTCAAAAATCGATATCCAACCTTCTTCATCAACAAATATCTAAACAACAGAAAGACCGATACTGTGCGAAACCTAGATGTGCCGAAGAAATAACTCATTGTAAGTCTAAAATTCAAAGGAGATACAATTAGTGAGATTCGCCAAAGTCGCTTGTCGACAGAAATTCCAAGAACGCTCATTGCTGAATCTTCTTTAAACACGCTTTTATTCACCTAAAAGTCAAAGAAAAGATCCCGCTGTCGCCAACTTCAGTGTGTATTCACCAATATTCACTTGCTCCCGTGGAACTAAGTACATAGGCCGTACCAGCAGAACATTGTCTAGACATGCGCTTATGAACACTTATCAGCATGATTGTCAAAAGAAAAACGTAGAACAGTCGACAGTTCAATTCTAAAGCATAATATTATTACTTCTAGTAACACAGTCATACATAAACTACGCCTAAGCTCAAGAGGATTTCCGTCTAAAAATTCTTCATACAGACAGAGATTTAGCAATCATCATGCACATAAGCAGAAACCTTAACTTTGTATTGTTCAGAAACGCTTTATCCAACCTATTTTAGTACTGTGACCTTATAGTGCCAGTGCTTTTTGTTTTCCTCCTGAATGGCTGTATTATGTATGAACTCTATGAAATCCCTTTTATCGATTTTTATATTTTTCAGCCCACTTTCAATCCCCTGTAATCTCTTGTTTCTTATCGATTATTTCTGAATAACCACCATTCATTACTTACCTAATTATCATGAGTTGCTTTGTAGGTATTTGATTTGTTTCAAGACCACCAAGGAATGATATCTCGGTTAGAGAACCATTGGGAAACCAGTGCAGGGAACATTGTACAGTTAGCCGTCTCATCTTAGTAAACAAAAGATCTTAAGGTTCGAAACCCAAACTATGCAGACGAAACAATCCGTGATCAAAGTTGAAACTTAACTAAGTAGTTGTCAATTCTCTTGATTACGTAAGATTATTGAAAACTACTCACACAATTTGATTCATTTTTTGTTACTAACTGACAATAACCTTTGACCTCTGTTGTCGGCTAACACTGTATATACAATAAACCGCACAAAATAACTTCACAGATCTGAAGTGAAGTCACGAAAAGAGTTCGCACTGCTGACTTACATGATTCTAATTACATTAGGTGGGAATTTTTCATACATATCTGTAGTCCTGCAAGTTGATGGTTTAGCTCGCCAACCATGCCTCACTTGGTCCAAGGTTCGATTCCCAGTTGCCAACCCACACAACCTTTACCTTACCTCCCTTAGCCGGTTATAAGCACCAACAAAGAGGGAAGGTTGGTTGGTTGGTAGGTGGTAGAGGCATGACTGAGGCTAGCAACCTCCATCTCGTACACAAAAAAAGAGACAAACACCACTTCTCCTGGAACTTCAGACCTCAAACCTGAAGCTCTGTATATTCCACTCAAGGAAAGCAAAGGATTGCAATAATAATAATAAATAGTAACTCTGTAGTTTTGAAAGGACTGAGAGTCAGAGAGACTAGGCACTAGGCTATCAACCAAGGGACATGTGTACTGCTCAGCAGTTCGATCCGTACTTCTCTATGGCTTTGAAACATGGCCAATATGAGTTGAAGACGTGAAAAGGTTGACTGTTTTTGAACATAGATGTCTACGATCTCTTTCTCACGTTAGGCGGTATCATAAGGTAAGTAATGTTGACGTTAGGCGTAGAGTGTTGAGCAGAGAGAGACAATCAATCGACGAGGCTATAAAGTTACATAGATTGAGATGGCTAGGTCACGTGCTGCGCATGCCTAACCATCGCCTCCCCCTCCCGACGGGCATTACTAGCTGATATAGGTAGGTGCAGGTTGGAAAAGAGTAAGTGGTGACCAAACAAAAACTTGGCCTCATCAATCCATGAAATCCTTGACAGTTAAACTGAGTCAGGTAGGGAGATGCAGACTTCCGGGTTGGGGCCCACCCTCGGGACTCTAAGAATCAATCAATGGCTGGAGACAATAGGTGACATGGCTCAAAATCGTTGTCAATGTCTTACACAGATGTATTCAGTCTGTGTAATCTTTCATATTCCTTTCTACCATTACTCATTCTGTTTCACCCTTATACTTGTCAAAATTCTATTGATTCTCTTCATTCATTTTCTTGTCTACCTTTGTGTGCTCTTTGGAACGTGGCAACTCGAAGTGCTGCACTTCGGTGCCAAGTTCTATGTTGAATCCAGACAAACAGACTGTAGTTATAGACAACTCGTGTCACGATTAATCACCACGACTTCCCGTAAAACAACTCTGTAATCGTCATAGAAATAGAAATAATAAAAATAAAAAATCTTAATGTCCACTTAATCCATGTACCAGGAGAATCCGTTTGTCCTACGTATGGTTTAAATGAACCAAAACGACGAGCATGATCTGGATTTCTCTAAAAAAACAGAAATTGGAGGTAAAAACAAGGAAAATAACAACATAATGAAACATAAATATTGTACAAGTGTATAACACTAATATATATATATATATATATATATTACTGACTGAATGAGATGAGTTTGATTACCCCCCTTGCACAACAACCGACGTCTAACCTGAATATTCTTCATCCCCTGTTATATTACCAGGTAAGATGGGAGATAGAACGCAGACATCTCAGTGCACATAACGCTTAACCTAGCCATCTCAATCGATGTAGCTTCACAACTTCATCGATTGATTTTCCCTCCTTACCTAACATTCGACGTCTAACCTGAATATAACTCACTCTATGATGGGAGATAGAACGCAGACACCTATGATCAAAGACAGATAGCCAGGCTTTGCATATCTTCCACTTTCAATGGTCATGTCTCACACACAGCCGTAAAGGGGGGTGCGGAGTAAACTGCTGTTGAGCAGTACACACTTCCTTTGACTGATAACTAGCTGGATATCACGTCCACGCTAGAAATGACGTAGATTAGCGAATTCCACACGTTTTTTTTTTATCGTGCTGAGATTTCGTCGAAAGTTAATCAGTTCATGAGTGTTGAAAAAATTTTCCAATTAAGTGAACGTCATCAACATGCTCAACCAATTTCAACCTGATCACAGTGTCAGTGGTGAAATGTTGAATTACCATAAGTCTCGGTGATGTCTAGGTTGGGATATTTCAAGTTAATTATGACATATAAATACATAAAACTGTATACTACTGATTGACGGAGATGAGTAGTAGCTGCATAGCTTTCATGTCAGCCAGTAGTGTTAGCCAGTTAGCTAGCTAGCTAGCTAGGTAGATCGAAGGGATCTAACCACCTGATTATCGTTCTGCACGTTTGTGGCTGAGCTCATCAGTAGCGGTGTGTATCCGGTTCGACTAAGCTGTCATTCAGAGAACGGAATCAGTTCAAACCACCTGACTTCTAACTATTTACTTAGCGAATTACCTATAGCACAAATCGAATTCGCAAATGTAAACAGGGGGAGTGAAACGACTATCCTGTGGTGTAGTCCTTACGATCTGGTTAGCCGGCAAGCACTCCTGTTTGCTAGTGTGAGTGGTATTCAACTACTACTCATCTCCGTTAATCAGTAGTATATAGATAGTTTTGTGTATTTGCGTTTGGCTTCAAGATTAGCATTTATGGCATGGAACACAGATCACATATAGTGTGTGGTGATCTGAATAATCTCCATTTTCCAAGGACAGCTTCAGCAAAATTTCATCTCCTCAAACTGTGAAAACTGAATTTCATATTAGTTTGTTTATTAGATGTTTCACACAGTCACAGAAACAGTATTAGTATTTACTGGATGAACAAAATTTATTGTTCATAATCATATCAATTGTAATCACACGACTTCGAAACGTGACTTTTATAGTTTTCTTTGTTTTCTCCTATTTGTCGTCGTAGGAGTAGTAGAATTTTCCAGATATCTGGGTGGACAGGTGTTGAATCATTCCTATTACAAGTATTCCCTGTCAGTTGATTCGATAAACAAAGCTTCAGTTATCAATCTCTCCCTCCACCCTGCTGTTACATTAGATTTTAAAACTGTCATCTTATCCCAACCTATTGTATGGTTGTGTGTAACTGCATGTAGTGAGTGCTATAGCTGAACTATTCTCTAGATTTCTTATCTAATTCGGGTCAACCAATCTAGATTTTGCTGCTAGGTTTTTATGTTCAGCTAGTCTGACTGCCCCTGTTCTACTAGTTTGACCTATGTATTTGACCTGACAATCATTCGAGCAGGGTATTAGATAAACTAAATTGTTTTGTTTTAAAGGCTCTACAGGATTGATGCTTTAACCGACAAAGTTTGTTTCTAATTGAGTTTGTGGTTGGTTTGAATGCCAGTCACTTTTATTCCTGCCTTGTTAAGAATTTAGCGTAAGGCTTCCGAGGTTCCTTCCTTGTATGGAATTACTACTGATGATTTAGATTCTTTATTGTCGGTGTTGTCTTGCGCACATTTGACTTGCATGTCGTCATGCAGTTACACACAACCATACAATAGGATGGGATAGGATGACAGTTTAAAAATCTAATGTAACAGCAGGGTGGAAGGAGAAATTGATAACAGAAGCTTTGTTTATCGAATCAACTGACAGGGAATGCGTGTAATAGGAATGATTCAACACCTCTCCAAACAGATATCTAGAAAATTCTACTACCCCAACGACGACAAATAGGAGAGGACAAAAAAACTATAAAACTCAAGTTTCGAAGTCGTGTGATTATTACTGATGATATGATTATGAACAATAAATTTTGTTCGAAAGGCGTTGTCATCCAGTAAATCATACTGTTTCACTCACTGTGTGATATATCTAATAAACAAACTAATATGGAATTACTTACTACCACAGTGCTAAGTTTTAGACAAATATAAGTGTGAAAACTGAAATTTTGGATTATCGCAAAAATGATTACAATAATATGGTGAGTGATTGCGCCTACAGCTCAAACGTATGAGAGTTTGAACTTGTGACCTATTGACATAAAGGCAACAACAGAGGTCAGTCAATGAACTGAATCTCTCCATTGTAACACTGTGATTAAACACTCACTAGGTAGAGTATGTAACTTGGTGTCATCTGTCTAGTCCTGTGCTTGTCTGCTGCAGACTGAACTCGCCTCAGTTGAGTTTGCAATGTGACCGCCAACAATAACCAAGCCATCATGGTGCACGCTGAATCCTTGTTATTGGATGATAATTGGAGGCAGTAAGCAGGTGGTCAATCGCCAGCCAGCCCAAATAGCTCAGTGGTGTAACGTGTCTCTGACCATCGGGGGAAGCACACTGAGTCACACGCAAGTTCCAGTCTCCAACAGAGGAGAACATGAGTTGCCTTAAGGTTGCAGATACACACCTTGCTGATTGCCGACTGCCGGTAACCACCAAATAACAATTATTCTCAATATTATCTTTTCGTTTGATTACCATGCTTACGAACCATTCGAAACTGCGTGATACTATTCGACTGCTGAAATTGAAGAGACGAATGCTTACAACATTGAGACAGCCCCACCCCACCCCCAATTATATGCAAACTAGTGCACGTCGATGTATGTAGAGGAGGGTTTTGAACCCATAGAATCCTCAGGCTACTGAGTCACATCTTCGCAATATGGTTGTGAACCCAGATGTACCCGGTAGTACTTTTTATAAGCTACTCAGGCCAGAAAAATAAGGGGGAGGGGAAACGAACTCGAAACATCTCTTGATCAAACGACAAGAGCGTAATCCAACGAGCATCACCACCAAGAAGTGGAGGGGTAAATGTGCACAGAACATCTATCCAACATACACGATGTCAGACAATGTATGCATTACATCTTTGAACAAATATAGTAAGAAAACCGAATCTCCAAATATATTGTAAAACACACCCCCTTTAGGAAAAAACATGAATGAATGTGATGATGAATGCACTTCATTATTATTATTATTATTATTATCATTATTATGATTACTGATAAATGGATTTAGAAAGTGCATTCTTTGAGGAAAGATAAAAAAATTACCTGTTCCATCATGTCGTCACAGAAGTTTCCCTCATTATAACTAGGCTGTGCAGCACTAAGTTCAAATCGTGACATTGATATCGATCGACCGCTGTGAGGCGGTGGTGGTGGATGTTGCTGCGATGAACCTAAATGGTTAAGTGGATATATGTATAGATAGGAAATAAAACTCTTTGTGAATTCAACATATGACGATATATACAAGCAGGCATACTGAAAAATCAATCATGTATGCCTATATATATATATATATATATATATATAGTACATAAAAACCATAGGCCTGTTAGCTTCGAGGTTGCTGATGACACAGGCTGCAGTCAGATTGTGGAGCAGGATTCAAACCCAAGACTCACTCAGTGACTGAAAATCGACGGTGAGTAAGCGCCAGTGAGCCACAGCTCCACTCTATTTTCAAATACTTTTTATTCCTTCGCATTCCCCTCGCGTGGAACATAAAGGGTGGCTAGCCTCAGTCATACCCACCAACCTTCCCCCATTTTGTCGGGGCTTAAAAAACTGCCTAAGAGAGATGTGTATGGGGTAAAAGTGTGCGTTGGTGGCCAGGAATCGAACTCCAAACCATGTTTAGCGTGGTTGGCGAGCATCCTACCCGCTGAATCACCTCCAAAGACACACGGCTTCACTGATTGTGTACAGTTAAAACACGCCTGAAGAGGTGATTTACATGTATATGAAATGTGCACAAATCACCTGATGTGACATGTGACCAAGTAAAAAATATAATTCAATATTAAGAGGTCTACCACTACCATTGTTGTAGAACACAACATGGTGTGAACACATGGTATTTCATGAACACTAGAAATATAATGACATACTTCAACTGGTTGAAAACCAACCAATCAATATTAACCAACAACCGATTACAATCCCAAACACCTCAGTGGGCGGAGCGGGAGGATTCCAACCCATGACGCCCACACCTGCTGTTGGAAGTTAAGCCCCTAGATCAATGGGTCACAGCACAAATTTAACCGATATTTGCTACTTAATAAAAACACTGATAAGCAGAAACCTTTGCTTCATCAAAGTTTCACGGTTGTTGCTACTCCTCATCAGAAGGATCTGTTTGCAACTTCATTCAAGGGGGGAAGGGCATCTTCCATTACATCTTTGGACAATGCGGATTTGAAATTGAAAGAAGAAGTCAATCCTCTTCAACATACAATGCAGATAAGACGTGGTGGGATTAAGTTTGACCAAGTACATAGAGTAACTGAATCGAGACTACGAGATGACTAGCCGAATTCATAGGCGTAAAGTTAATCAGCTAAAATTCTCAACCATTAGGCTTCCGCCACAAACCAACATCAGTTAGGGAGGTCACTGAAAACCAAGGAGCACTGAAAAGCTGTTTTCTTCTAACTCTTGGGACTCTTCAGCAACGCACACCCATGACCCCGCAAGGGACCTTCAGGCTACCACCAGATCAAGCTCGTTGACGAACATTCAGCCACACTTGGTCTGGCATTCGATAACGCCTGAATTCTAATTCTGTCAACTGGTAATGTAGTTAGTGTGAGGGCTGAGATACTGCGCAGGCGCCCCTCCCACCAAGCCATTAACTTGAAGTCTCATCCGCAATGCGGCGGGGCAGCGTCAGCAGGAGCTATATCCCTATGGTTGCCGGTGTCCAATACAGGTCCGACCCGTCTGGATTCTGACGTCCACGTGCCAAACCCATATAGTAACCACTTTCAGAGTCTAACCTCTATCCAAAAAACAACCTTCTTGGCATAGTAGGACCCGCAGGAGAACAAAAGTCCCAGTCAGTGTAACTTTTTGGGTCAGTGCGGCGGTATGGCAAACCAGACTCGTGATACTGAACTTCCTCCACCAAAATGCCTACGGCAAGAGCATCTAGTTCACCACCTACTTTAACATGGTGGACCCAACTGAAATTATCTCCAAAATCCCATTTAAAAAATTAATAATTAACTGTGCGTCAATACTCACCTCCATGAGCTGGAGACGCCGAATGTAGAAGAGACGGTCGACTATTCATATGGTTAGATGGTGATCTCATGCTCAGATCCTAATGAAGAAAAAATTATAATAAAGTAAAAAGCAAATACAAAAACCTTTAAATAATCAATACTACAAGTATAAATGAGTTTTTAATTAACAATTTTGAGTACATAACGTGTAAAAACCATATCATTAACATATTCTTGATATTCAAGTATTCGTTTTGTAGGGATTTTGTTTGACTGTATGGAGGATTTCATCATGAGCTGACATCAGTTGAAGAACCACCCACCGGGGTTCGGACCCAGCGAGCTCGTAGACCATTGAGCCACTACGACCCGATCCAATGGCCAGCTCATGAATTCTAACTTCTGCCAATTCACGACATAGTGCGACCATTTCGCAATGTCTTCTTCGATGAGTGACTGCCTCATCGTCAACCTGCGTGGGTGCGTACTGATGAAGAGTCCCAAACTAGGACGAAACAGCTGTCCAGTACTCTCAGCTTTTCCAGTGGTCCTCCAACTGATTTCAGCTCATGATGAAATCCTCCATGCAATATTCTTGATAAATTGCTGATCAGTGTATTCATAAGGCTATATATTTTATCAGCGTTTCGTGGAACTTTGAACTATTTTGCCTGTATACTGTCAGTCAACTTAGGAATCTTCTCTCTATTTCGAAGCATCTCAATATCTAATAAACTAGATGATGAGTAGAGTTACAAAAGTAAAAGATGGATATTGTGAGTATCGGTAAGGTAAAAGCCCACACCTCAGGGGATATTCACCAATGAAATGAGAGGATCTGGAGTGGTTTGGTTTTACTTCTATTGCACTAATCACATACACACACAACAACAACAGACCAAAAACGTAAGCACCTCAAGAGAGCTGTTGTCAGTGTTGGTGAATATTGAATGAGTAACATATAGTTTGTTTATACGAACTGAATCCCCCAAATTTTGGCTGGAGACTAAACTGGCGGCTGTCACTTAATCCTATGATGTTTGGCAGAAGACTGAGAGGAAAATGATCACAAGTATTATTGTGATTTATGTTGATGGTTATTCATGCATAGGCATTGTGTTGTGGTAACTCTGCAGTCGTGGTTCATTGTCAGTACAGCAGGTCGGATATGAGGACAAACACCCGCCAAAGATGACATAATTTAGTGCCAGTCGTGCTATATCATGAATTGGTAGAAGTTGTAATTGATGGGCTAGCCATTGGATAGGATCCCAGTGACTGGTGAATGGTCTACGAGCTCGCCTTGTAATCGGAAGGTCCAGGGTTCGAACCCCAGAGGTGCGTGCGTACTGATGCAGAATCCCAAACTAGGATGGGACAGCTGTCCAGTACTCCCCGATGCTTATCCAATGGTTTCCTAAGCGATGTCAGCTCTTGATAAAATAAGCAACCTTCGAATCGCCAATCTGTTTTTTCTCTGAAAATTTCGAGTCGGTTACCGCCCATAGTACTCTGAGGCAACACGATTAGTTTTCTGAGACAGTGGTAGTGTCAGGATCTTTTTCGATCACGACAATTGGTGGCTATGTTTACACCACATGCTAACATCTTGAATGCGAAGCATTTTCTGTAACAGCGGACAGGACCTTCCGTGTTAACCTCGGATTTATATAATAATAATATATTATAATAAGCTTTGTAAAGATCACATTTAATGAATTGTTAACGTAACATGGCGATTCTGTAACTCCACGCATGTACACACACACACACACACAAGCGAACAAAACATGACAATCATCACTGACTAAAAATTACCTGCTGATTTGATCCTTGATGTCCTCTAGGGGTGAAATAAGAAGCTGAAGACGATGTTTGTAATGGTTGTGCAGTATGTCTCTGGTTCGGGACTAAAAAAAAGCAGAAAAGTGAAGAGAGAAAATGACAAAATGTGAAAACTTAACCAACTGAACTAACAATGCGTGTTTTAGTAAAAAGGGGGTCCGTTATTAGACGGTTGGAGGCAATCAGGTAGGAAGCCCCCTGAACCGCCTGTTGGCTTGTGTTTGTTGGCTGGCACTCTCATCAGTTGACAAGGTGTTTGTCTTCAGTCCTGAAGGGCCTCATGTCGCCTGTCTGAGATTCAAACTCGGGTGTCACCCAATGCTTGCTGCCTGGTGTCAGAAACGTAACCACTACTGAGCTATTCTCATTCAGTGATATATCAGAGTGCACCGTGATGTCGAACGCGTAGCGATCTAGCTTGTTGGTGGCGACATTGCAAACTTGACTGATAGGATCCAGTCTGCACCAAACACAGAAAGAACTAGACGCATGATAATAGTTACTAACCAGCATTTGAACCGACCACTACCTGCAACCCATCCAGAAATACCAACAACAGTGCGTACACAACTGCAAGTTGACACCAATCCTCCAACGAAAGCTGAAGTCCTGAATGCAATCAAGCTTATGAAAGCTGGAAAAGCAGCTGGACCAGATGGAATACCGCCTGAAGCACTGAAAGCGAACCCAGAGACGACAGCAGATATGCTGGCTCCATCATTGCAAAAGGTCTGGAAGGAGGGAAAGGTGCCTACAGACTGGAAGAAAGGTTACCTTGTGAAACTACCAAAGAAAGGCGACCAATCGCCCAACAAATATGCAGGAGAAAGTGGAGATGGATTGAACACTCGTTGAGGAGGCCGCTGGGTGACATTGCGCGTCAGGCCATTGCTCGAGTAGAACGCGAAAGGGAAGCGGCGAGTGGGACGTAAAAGGGTGACATGGAGGAGATCGTGTGAAGAAGAGTTGAAACAGCATGGACTAACATGGATGGAGGTGAAAAGTACAGCAGAAGACAGAAGCAAGTGGAGACGTGTAGTTGAAGCCCTATGTTCCACTCGGAACCGAAGGGAATAATAATAATAATGTACAACAAACGGAATAAAATAAATAAACTATGTGATGTGATATGATACTTTTTATTGTCTGTGAAAGCAAATCAAAAGTGGAAAATTTCATACATCCGGTCCCCTTTATTAGTTTGAATAACGAAAGGACGAATACATATTTGTAGGACAATATGAGTTGGTTCTATTTCATGAATTCTCTTCAACTGTCTACCTTCTAAATACATCAATTCTAATATAATTCAATTTTAGATTTTCCCGTCGATTGACTGGATCGAAGTGCTGAGTCTCAGGTTGATATACTGACTCCTTGTGCAGATGCTTCGACGATGTCTGGTCATGTAACTTGAAGTCAACTGGTGGATGGTGACTAGGAGTGGAATCCAGGATGCGCATTCCGTCCTGCTTGGGACTCGTCATCTGGATGTACTTGCATTTCCCAGTGACACTGAGCACTTCGGTTCAATCAATCGACCGGAAAATTTTAATTGAATTAAATAATTAATAAGACCCGTTGCACAAGAGGTGACTCTCGTGCTTCAAGTGGTCTAGTGGACAACGCTTTGGAGTTTGAAACCACAAGCACTGTGGTTCGAGCCTCAGTGGGAACACAGCCCCACTCACTGGGGAATGCAGATACATCCAGCCGGTTGACGAGTTCCAAAAAGGACTTAATGCACATCCTCGTGGATTCCATTGCTGGTCACTATCCGTCAACTGACTTCAAATAAAAATTTTCGTCAAAGTATCATGCGATATTCCAGCTGATTTCTCATAGAGAACTAACACAGCTCGAGAACAAATATGCATACTGAAGGTGACAGCAAAACAGAAGAAAATTTACTGCGAAGAATACAACTGTTGCGTCTTAAAAGTAATCAGTTGAGCAATAACTATTTTTTGAGGGTAGCTGCAAACAATAACAATCAAAACTAAGAGCCTGTCATATCATGTTGAAAAGTCGATCAGACCGTACCTCGTTGAGAACCCATTTTATTCACGGGTTATTCTGCAATTCTATCCTGATCTTTCTTTCAGTTAGAATTAGGTTTAGGAATGGTTTTTGGGTCAGGAAAATTACTTGTTTTGAGTTATGTTTGGGATCAGAGTTAGGTAAGTGTCAGGGTTAGATATTGAGTGGCTGACTGAATGGTTTCAACATAGAACTTTGCACAGAAGTGCAGTAACTTCGAGTTGCCACACTCCACGTACCAAACAAAGGAAGACAAAATGAGAGAGAGAAAAAACGAGATCCGAAACAACGAGTGTAGGCAGAAATCTGAGGGACGGAGGAAGAATAGTAGTATGGAAGAACAATAGAGTACTTTGATTGCATATGACATATCACAAAGAGTAAATGCATCTGCATCGGCAACTGGGGACGATTTTGAGCCATATTACCAATTGCCTCCAGCCCTCATTGGGTTCTTAGCATCTCGAGGATCCCACAACTAGATTGATAGTCTACACATCTCCCTACGTATCTGACTAAAACTGACCGTTAAAGATTTCATGGACTGATGCCAAGATTTGCTTTGACCATCACCACTAGCTCTTTTCCAACCGAATCCTATGTCAGCTAACATCGCCTGTCGTCGAGGAAGGCGATGCATAGGCATGTGTAACACATGCCTTAATCGTCTCAATAGGTGTAACTTCACAACCTCGTCGATTCATTTCCCCTCCCACCTACCTAGCACTCGACTGAAGCCTAACCTCAATATTGCTCACCTTATTATACCACATCACACGGGAGATAGAACGCAAGCACCTATGATCAAACACAGCTAGCCAGCCTTTTCATGTCTTCCACTCTCAATGGCCATGTCTCACAGCCATAAATGAGGACGGAGCGAACTGCTGCTGAGCAGTAAACATACCCTTTGGTTGACAGCCAGATACCCACATCTACGCTACATGGCGTAATATACAGCATATGCCGAACGAGCCTTCTGTATCCGTGCTGAGTCATAAAAACATTAGGATAGGATTCCCAGAACACTGTACCTGTAAACTTAACTTGCATATGAGGTGCACGAGACTATAATAATGTACCGAAAACCCCTGGAGAAACAACTCTCCATAAGAAAACTTATTTGGCACTGGGACTTACCCTGTGAAAACATTTGATTCTGTCTTGCAGGAAGCGTTTGAGGAAACGGAGGCTGCAAAACAATAATAAACAAAACAGTAAGGATTATACACATACTACTATTGTAGTCAGTAAATACGACGGTGCATCACAGATGAAACCAATAAAAGATAGTCAAGGGAACCTGACCGCTACTAAAGACGAGAAGTAAAGACACCAATGGACTGATTACTCTTCAAAGGACTTTTTAACAAGTCATCATCTGCAACTTGTTCAGAAATACCACCAACAGAAGCCACAGAACTGTCAGTGGACACCAATCGTCCAATATAGGTAGAAGTCTTGAGTGTAATCAAGTAAGTGAAGGCCGGAAAGGCAACAGGACCGGTAAGAATTCCACCGGAAGCACTGGAAACTGACCCAGAGACCGCAGCGGATATCGTCCCGCTACTATTACAGAAAGTCTGAAGGGAAGGCTAATTTGTTAAACTACCAGAGAAAGGCGACCAAGGTCTCTGCACCAACAGGCGTGGAATTATGCTCTTGCACATGCCAGGTAACATATTAAGTTGCGTCATCCTGGAGAGAATAAAAGATGCACTGGATGCAGAACAAGTTGGATACAGGAGGAGCAAGTTTTAAGCGGATCAAATAACAACTCTGCACATCATCATCATCAAACGAAGTATAGAATGGCAGTCAAACCTCTACCCAACTTTATCGACTTCGAAAATGCCTTCGACAGCGCTGACCGAGAAGTAGTTTGGAAATTACTTCAACAATATGGTGTCCCAAGTCTTTATCAATCTCATTCAACAACTACATGACAATGGCACGTGTCGAGTGACCCACAACGGAAAATTCAATGAGGCCTTTGAAGCGAATACAGGAGTAAGACAAGCTGGCTGCCTATTATCACCAATAGTATTCTTAATTGTGGTGGACTGGATTATGTGGCAGGAATACTCTGGACCAATAAGAAGACTCTGGAAGATCTGGATTTCGCAAATGATTTGTGTTTAATGTCCTACCAACTGGAAGAATTACATGCGAAAACCAACAAACTGGCTGGAGAGGCAAGCAACAAAGACAGAACTTTAAGTGAACATAGAGAAGACGGAGGTGATGAAGATAACCAACCAACAACAAAAACAACAACCAGCACCAATCACCATCAAAGGGAAAGATTTGACAGAGGTTACTTCATTCGCTTATCTAGGAAGCGTCATTCCAACTACAACCAACTTCACGGACGAGTATGTCAATCCCAGTCAGTATTGGGAAGGCAAGGCACACCATCACTATGAAGTCAGTTTGGAAATCTTTTGAACTCAGTATAGACAAGATGATTCGGCTTTTCAACACCAATGTGAAACCAGTAAGTCAGTTCTTCTACATAGGTGAGAAACTTAGCGCATAAGTCATGAAAAGCATTTCCAACAGGCCACTACAGACTTTTGTCGATAACTGCCTTAGTCAAAAAGACAGCTATGAACATTATAATCTAATGTGATAAATGGTGACGAAATGAAATTCTAGACTGTAGTTCTATTAAAGAAATACATTTCTGTAGATATGCACAACTTACGATTCTTACCACAAGTAATGATCTTATCAATATTCGACGTTAGATGTTTAAAGTTTATTGGCTGAAAATGTTCAAAGTAGGGACTTTGTGCTCTTTGGCAATGATCTACTACCCACAGAAGAAGACCTGGAATTATCTTAACGGTGAATCTTTTCCTCAAGGTCACGTTCAAGTTTCTTAGCACTGTTAGTACAACAATGTGGTTAGTTGAGTGACTAATCAACGTAAAATTATGCACAGAGATGAACCCCTTTATGTGCCACAGGGAGTCAAAAACAGCAACAAAAAAAGTTGGTGCCACAAATGACAATCATGGTAGTGAAGTAATAGGAAATTTAATAAAGATTATTTGAAAAGTCACTATTCGAATGATAAAAGTGAACATAGGTATCCCCAACCACCTCATGAGAGTCACCACTACCCACTGATCCTTAACATTTCAACGATTACAGCCGGATAACCTACACCTCTATATTCAGTTTAGATTAACAAGCCACTGATTTCATCATGGGTGTGCTGCAAGCTGTGATGTAAACAAATATAACTTTTCTTATAAAACAACTATATCAATCTGAGTGAAATGTCTACAATGCTAAGAAGCTTCACTATCGAACATGTCCGGAATACGTCTTTTTGCATAGACCATCCTGCATAAAATGAGACTACATAAACGATTTAAAGCAACATGCTATTAGTGCTGGTACTAACCACTAACAAATTAAGTGAGATTACGTAGACTTTATGACATTACAAAGCAGGACTATACTGTCGGCATTTGAAAGTTTTCCTCCAGGTAACAGATCTAAATCACTATGCACTTCCTTTGAAGCTTCCTACAAACTACCACCAATGGTAAAGCTGCAGAGAAATGGTGAAATTAATCAATCTTGTATATAAAGTCACTGCTAGCTGAGAATAGTGTAGCAGAGCAGTAAATATTACTGTATACCACTGTGTGACTTGATCAAAATAAAATTTTATCCATAATGGGATTGTAGTCTGCCACAGCGTGGTAGAGAGCTTTCATAATATTGGCAAACTTCTCAGGGACACATCTAGATAACACCACTGCGAAAGACAGCTTTGTCCTGAAGGCAACCCTGGTAGGTATTTAGAAATACATCGATTTTTAACCCACAAAATGTATGCTTCAACAAACAATGAGGGATAAATACATGAGATATATAGACAGCTTAAACGAAATCAACAGATATTGTTTAAGCATTTCTTAAAGATGAGCACATAAGATGAATCATTGTCAAGAAACCCCTAAATACTGTGCTTTGGAGCAGAGAAAACCAACACTGCAAGTTAGTTAAACTTTTTTTAGACGCTTCACCCAGAGTCCCAAGACCTGACACTTGTCCTCTTGTATACTCAGTTACTGTTTTTAGTCGTAGAATTATCCACCCAACTTTTTGGAAGAACCTCTAGGGTTGATAGTTTCTATCTCTTTCTCGCGTTAGGTGGTATAATAAAGTAAGTAATGTTGACGTTAGGCGTAGAGTGTTGGGCAAAGAGGGAAAATCAATCGAAGAGGCTATAAAGTTACATAGATTGAGATGGCTAGGTCACGTGCTGCGCATGCCTAACCATCGCCTCCCCCGAAGGGCATTACTAGCTGACATAGGTGCAGTGGTGGCCAAACAAAAACATGGCATCAATCCATGAAATCCCTGACAGCCAAACTGAGTCAGGTAGGGAGGGAGATGCAGACTTCCGGGTTGGGGTCCGCCCTTGGGACTCTAAGAATCAATGGCTGGAAACAATAGGTGACATGGCTCAAAATCGTTGTCATTGGCTTACGCAGGTGTATCCAGTCTCTGTAATCTTTCATATGCCTTTCTACCATTACTCATTCTGTTTCACTCTTATACTTGTCAAAACTCTATTGATTCTCTTCACTCATTTTCTTGTCTACCTTTGTGTGCTCTTTGGGACGTGGCAACTCGAACTGCTGCACTTCGGTGCCAAATTCCAGCAGCAGCAGCAGCAATTAGTATAATGACTTACAGCTCCACCTGAGATAATGGGGAAACGGAGATATCCACCAAGATTTGCACTAATAAAGATTCATAGTCCAAACTAGCAAACAGAGAGAGAGAGGTTTGATCTTACAATACACTACAGGTCAGTGGCATTCCCACAATATCTGGCTCTATGATATTACTACTTCGTGTCCTATTGATAACAATGGTTAATAGTTGAGCTTATCATCACATCTGCAATGCTTGTGGTCCAAAACCATTTCACGAAAAAAAGACAAAATACGGTTACCATGGGTGTGGTCAGACAAAACAATGAAGTAACTAACACTTGTAAGTCAATATATATATCAGTTCAAGTTACCGGTTACAACGGAAGTTGCAAAGCAATACAGAAAAGAAAAAGAGATTGATTTATGCTACCGTAGATAGAGACATGCAAGAGAATGAACTGAATGAATAATAGCGTTAGTGGTTTTCATAATGTAAATAAGTCTAAAACATTTAACTGTTATGTTAAAGACATCAACAAATATCGATCATTCTGATACACAACGACCGCTACTAACACCTTTGCACCGCATTTCTGCTTCAACTTGTAACATTATAACGTATAATACAAAATCTCAGTCATAGTTTTACTATTCTCCTCGAGTTTTCTCTCTAATACAGACTTTATAGTATTTTATTATTTATTTTAACACTTACATTTCCTTGGTTACTGTAACCAAATGATGATGGCTGTTGAGAATTGTTCATTTGAGACGAACCTACAAGGTAAAATCAAAGTTAACTAAACATTTATGCACTAGAAAATAATAATTAGACAATATTTAAAATCATATGCCTGACTATACAGAAGAAGTGAATTGAAATTGACCACGAAGAAGAAGAAAAACCAGCAGAGAGAGACGTACCCCATGGATCAGAGTATGATGATGAAGGTGGTCCATAATATCCCATGCGACTGCTCATTTTCTATTTCGGAAAGATCTAAAATACAATAAATAAATGCAAATAAATGTACATGGTAAAATAGATTAACATTAGGGGGAAACAGATGGATAAATCAATACAGGACTTTGTACAACATTGCATCAGTCAGTGTTTACCAAACCTTAATTTGGAACACACATGAGATTACGGCATACAAATATGAGTAAGTGAGACCAAATAATTGAAAGAAGGTCCATCGAAACGTTCAAAATTTTGTAAGACGGTAAAGAATGAATACCTCCCTCCAATGTGAATGATTCTGAGCTTTGTTATCAAGTCTTCAAATATTCCTACCGTCCCGATGACTTGATGATGACTTGAAATTAAGTCACACTGCCTCAATTCTAGGTTGCCGCTTTAGATCCACCCACAATGTTCACAAATATTTATATTGCTAGTGAAGTCTAAAGAAAACTGCCTCCAAGTGGCCAGATCTCGCCAACGACGAGACAAATACAAACTGGAAAGAGATCAAAGAAATGCCACACATGGTTCCTGGTATGACTGATTTATCATACAACGAACACCTTACCATGTCCTAAGCAGAGATGAGATTCAAGTATATTACCCAAAGATCTGGTCCATTTACCCTTTTTCTTCTGCACAAGATCAAAACATTTCAGGGGGCATAACAGAAGAGTTCGAAAGTAAAAGAAGAACTGTAGGAGGCATTTACTCTTCGAACCTATTCCCAGGTGTCTGTGCACACAATTGGCCTGTTATAGAAAGGAATAGGCAAGCACAAACACTTAGTAGAAAAGATTTTACATCTGATTAATCTCTCTTTCTTCAGTCATAAATGCAAATCTGGACTTATGTATCATTACTAGGTACCCCAGCTAGCATTTCTTCGGGGCGAAACACTTTGGGCGTATTGCCGTTCTTGAGTATTCGCCCCGAAGACTGCCCCAAAAAGTCTGCAATGCACCCTAAGTCTGCCCCAAAAAGTCTTCAATGCCCCCGAAGTCTGCCCCAAAAATTCTGCAATGCGCCCTAAGTTAAAGTCGGAATCGGGAATGTGCCCTAAGTCTGCCCCAAAAAGTCTGCAGTGCGCCTGAAGTCTGCCCCAAAAAGTCTGCAATGCGCCCGAAGTGCCCCAAAAGATCTGCAATGCGCCCTAGGTCTGCCCCAAAAAAATTGCTGGCTGGGACGAGGAGACGTCTCGAAGTGGAAAGCAAGAATCTTGGTAACGGCATTCACAAGGGAGCTCATTATGGTGATTCCAACGTGTTAGTTACTAGAAATCTTCCACAGAACATCTGGGCTTCGCTGACTTCGAAATACAATCTGAAGACACTTGAAAGCTTGTGAGGGGACCCCGCACGGTCTTCTCTAACTCTCCTTAGACGGTTTAATTTCTTGCCTGTAGAAACTACGAGTACTATAATCGAAACAGCAGACAAGCCTTTTTAGGACTAACTACATGCACATATGTGTATCCGCTACATAACGGATGTCCAGAAGTCATATATAGCTATAGTTATTGCCAAGAGCCACGTGTCTGTCAAAAACTCCTTCTAAACCCTAAGTGGAGCCTTAGTAACTGCCTCAGTCAACCCATAAAGAAAATAAAAATCGACCAAAAACAGCAAGGAATTTCATACATACAAACTGAGTAAAGGCGGACGAATTCAGATGAACACAAGGTAATCCGCCTTCAATCTACATTCAATGTTCAGTATACTTTCTATTTCACAATTGAAGATAGCATAGTTTGGTAGCATATTAATCTTTTCGAAAACCTCCACAATGTATGGCGGAACTCTCCTGAAGCTTAGTAATAAAAGATTGAGAACCTTAGATGCATTAGGACATCACTACAAATATTTAAGGTAGAAAACTTCTAGAATATGTAAGTCCCTTCCTAATAAGTATACGTTCATATCTCTGTACTTAGTGGAAAAAGCCAACCCCTATAATCCACTCGATAGATTTTTGAGATCTGCTTGAAATATAAGTGAGTCACTTTTATCCTTCCGTCCTCTTCAAATATTGGGGATGTGCTTCTAAATTACCCCCCATCCAAGCGACTGCCTTGACCACCTCCATATAGATTTGGTTGAACCTTATACAGAATCCTTTGTATATGCCCACACTCTGGCTCGCCATAATCGCCTTACTTGATGGCTTGAACAAGTGCTCCAACAAGGACATGTCTGCTGGAACAGCCGGACTAGTTTTCGTGGGAAAATACAACTTGAATTTCGGTTGTCTGTTTTCCAAAACAACCGATCATGGGCAACGATTTTGGGGCTACCTATTTTCATCCTTACCTAGGCCCCTAGTATACGTTTCATGAAAACAGCCTGCCATCCTCAAGCGAACATTATGCTAGAATGCCTCCACCTATGGTTGAATATTGTGCTATCAGCATCAAACTCTTCGCATTTGACTGAGTTGTTACTCCTGTTTTTCCTCAGTAAAAGGAATGTGTGGAATGCACTGCTACAATATTGATATATGTTGCAACTATGCCATTACTTAGTGAGTCTGTTTCATTTTCCTTTTTCTTGTTAGCTCTTCATTACGACTTTATGTCGGCAGCCCTACAAATGCGGTGCAATCAATTAACCCTACACCATTATATTGTACCTATTCGTAAATATGTAATAAAAATAATGCGTAAACAGGGGCCTACAGCTTATGTCAACAGCTACCGCCCCATCAACATCACGTCTGTAGTTTCACGTGTAATGGAAAAGATAGTAAAGACTTAAATTACTCAGTACTTGCTCTCGAATGACCTACTATCCACATCCCAATACGGTTTCTTAAGTAGAAGGTCGTGCATTACTTGCCGCTTAGATTATTTTGACTACATGAGAGAATGTATAGATAATGGTCATTCAGTAACAACATTGTTTCTCGACGTTAGCAAGGCCTTTGATAACGTCCCACATATCAGACTCCCAACAAAATTCCAATCCTACGGAATAACTGGAAATTTTCTTAAATAGATAAATTCTTTTCTCACAGAAAGAGAGGGATCAAACAATTCCAACAGTGGTGTGAACACTCGAGATATTACCAATAACAAAACTTGTCATTGTGTGTAAACTATTGGAATATAATTATACTTTATTTGATCTTATCCACAATGCTCAAACTTTTTACTGATATTAAGAAAGAGAGCAGTTAGTCAAAATCAACCACCAGTTATCTTCACCAAAGCCGATAACTAATGGTGTAATACAGGGTAGCGTTCTTGGCCCTATTCTATCCCTCTCATATATAAATGACATTGTCTCTGCGATCAAGTATGGCAAGCCATACCTCTTTGCTGGTGATCTCAAGATAGTGTATGATTATGCGTACGATGACATGCGCGTCGAAAGCAAGATCCAACATGACTTAAACAATCTAGGCGATCGGAGCGAAAAATGACAACTGACTTTTAACCCGGACAAGTGCGATATAGCTCACCTTGGACGCTGGAAACCGAGAATGTTTCTATGTATGTACGATAAGCTCCTCTCAAAACTGAACACAGTCACAGATCTCTGGATACCATACTCAGATCTAACCTTTTTCGATCACGCAAATAAGGCAGCATCTGACTGTAAACGATTTACTGGCTTTGTACTGCGTAACTTCTACACCCAAGAGGCAAAATTAGCTTTATATAGAACATGCATTCGCCCCAAACTTGAATATTGTGCTCTCCTATTTAGTAACCTAAGGTCTGCAGACCGAAAAAAAATCGAGTATTCAGAGATTCCTAACGAAACGCATAATATGGTTTGACCAACAAGTGGAATATTTTGATAGGTGTATACGTCTGAAATTAGTACCTCTGTGGTTAAGGAGAGTGAAATGCAGCTTATTTCTACTCTTCAAAGTAATAAGAAACATTGTTATAGTAAGTCATCCATAATGTGGAAAAATATCAAATCATATCAGCTGCGAAACCACAACTACCTTGTCAAGGTAGCTACCCACAGAAAATCCATTAGGGCAAACTTTTTCATCATTAAATATCGCACCCTTTGGAACCAACAAACATCTGAAATGAGATCTTATAAAAACCCCGATGGGTTCAAACGGAGCCCAGAAAGACATATTAACATGTTCACCATAGCTCGTCTAAAGGGCCAATTCTGTTGGTAGAATGTTAAATGAAAGCCGGTCCAGTCTTCAGTCTAATCACTTACATGTAACTCCACTCTACTACTTACGCAGCAAACGTTTAACTAATTTACTGATTTTCTATTCTCTATAATCTTCAGTAAGTTGTGTTAGTTAAGCAATTCTAGAACTAACTATATTAGCAAGTACACCTTTTAACATTCTACATATCAATGAATGAATAATAACACACTGCTGTTTTTGTGTCGAAATGACTTTACTCAGTCAATAACTACCTTTTCCCATATACTATTCTAAAATACATCATTTTATAACATTTCACAGTATTTTCAACATAGCATAAGTTGAAGGGTTACTTTGCAATGTCTGACGCATACCCTATGAAAATCGGTCATGAAAATTTAGCATAACAAGTCCTGTTAACCAGCTGTTTTCCTCAGGATCATTCTACATAACTTTATCACTAATTGTTCCACTACCCATTTAACTCTGCTAATAGGCTATAACTTAGTTTCTGTAATACTCGCTACTTTTATACCTTATACTTCCTCAAGTAAACTCAGCTTTCTAGGCGCTTGTAACAAACGCTTCTATACATGTGTGCATGTATAAAGGTGATACTGCTAAGAATGTCCTCAGGTATCAATGTATCTGGTGACCTAATGGGAGGCACTTGTCGTGAAAGCTATTAATGTACAGCATACTGTATGATTGGGACGGGCTCAAAGCAGTACAGTGCTACAACCACAGTTGTTGCAAAAAAAATCCCAGAGCTTAACATCAAAAAGGAGGGAGGGCGGCGCATGCTGATCAGCAGATATGTTGGCGGTCATAAATGTGAATCGCTCCAATCTGTAGGACAGCAACATGCATTTTTGACAGCTCGAGAATTAAACATTTATCTAGGTCCTTGACGAAAAAATAAGGGTTGCACAAATCTAAATTATAAAAGAATGCTTTTGCTCCTACCATGTACAATCCCGTTCAGCTTCTTCCTAAGACGCTACCCCATGGGCCCTACAGAAATTCGTGAGACATCTTGCAGGTCAGCTTGTCCTACGGGTTCTAATCTTCCCCACTGAAATATCACTTACATACCTCACAATAATCTTTTTATTCACGCACCATTATACTCTACTTTGTATTAACTACCTAGGCCTTTATTAAGGCTAAATCTTACTCTTTGTTCATATTTGTTGCTTGCTTAAACTTTGGTTGCTTTGATGAAAACACAACAACACCAATATTTGAGCAAAGCTTTATTTTCATCGAAAATGCCATGGCAAGACCACTATGGTCAGCATTGAAAATTGCAAATGTATACTATCATTTCAAGGAGTCTCCAGCTACTTCTTGTACATATTTTGTAAATGTTCCTCCAATGGTATATTATCCGTAATTGTACCTGATGCCATTTTGCAGTCTTCCAGGACGTTCTTCTCTTCCTGAAATAGCTTTTAATCACGTGGCGGCATAGCACTTACCCAAACATATGCTGTTTATCGGTTGGCCAAAACTGTCTGCAGGAAACGGAAGGAAGTCTGGGTTGTTGCTCAGCTTCGACGGTGATCTTAGTGAAGGGTTTACAATTTAACACTGATAAGAAATTGTTCTGATTGCTTGTACAATAATCGAACAATTTGAACGATTGAAAAAGTATTAATTGATGATACTTTACGATTGTAATTTATAACATAACTGATCGTGCCTGCAAAAGTGGCATACATTTCTTGTAAGCACCCGTTGTTACGAAATATAAATTATTATTAGAAATGCAGTAACTCCAAACTTTCACACTTCCCTTACAAGTCCTTACCAGGCATCTGCCTCCTACAGCCTTTGATTCATACATACAATGGTGTCATTACTCAAACCAAATTTACATGCTTTGGCCATCTGCGGCTAAATGCCTGACTGCCGTCTTGCAACATCTTGGTATTCTAAGTGGAAAACTTCTAAGCATATCTATTTACGATCTCTCAAATAGTGACGTTACACGGTGATAATCACAGTCAACACTATTCCTGAAGCTACTATCTGTTCTACAACAGCTATTTACATTGCTGAATATCATACGCCGCTTGATGTGCTTTCCTCAACAACGCAACATCGTTCACGCCCTTTTCTAATGTTGTGGCCGATTGGCTTTAAAAGTTATGTCCGATTCTGAAGACTTGTCATCATAAATGACGTCGACATGAAAATGGAAGCATAATATATGCGTGTCAATGATTCGCAGACCATGTCATGAATACTGGCATCAACACTAATTGAAGTCGAACGGTCTACGGAAACCACCACTGTGAATTCCACTGAGGAACATATCACTAAGAAGCGGTTTCAACAAACTACACAACCTAGTATCGGCCAAACTTGTTTTGTAGCATTGTTAAGCACTGACAAACCATCGAAATTCAGCTGTATTTTAGTGTTAATGCCTTAACCCAACAACTCATTGCGGGTGTTAGTGTACCCTGCCAGGGAGGCGTTTCATATTAGTTGGTAAATTTGGGAGATGTGGTCTAAACATTCACCGCATTATCTTCTCCGCCAGCTACTGTAACATTAGTGGTCATCATAATCTTCG